CCTCGATTTCCGAAGATGGAACTTTAGATTAATGGGGCGCCACCACCAATTCCGAAGATAGAGCCTTAGATTGATAGAGCGCCCCGCTTACCACCCTTGAACTCCGAGGATTGAACCTTGAACTCATAGGCACCCCTGATTTTGAATTATCAATCTTAGATTGTGAGGATAAAGCCTTGGACTAATGGGACGCCTCTAATTTTAGAATCAAAATTCTTATCACCCGTCAACTCCGAGGATAGAGGATAGAGCCTTGGACTGATAGAGCGCCCCTAGTTCTAATATCAGAATTCCTATCATCCTTGAACTCCGAGGATGGATGAGCCTTAGATCAATAGAGCGCCCCTATTTTTTAAAATCAGAATTCTTATCACCCGTGAACTCCGAGGATGGAGCCTTAGACTGATGGGGCACCCCTAATCTTGAAATCAGAACTCTTACCACCCTTGAACTCCGAGGATGGAGCCTTGGACTGCGCCGATTGCGCCGGCTACGCCGTATTGCGCCGACTGCACCGATTGCACCGACTGCGCCGGCTGCGCCGACTGCGCCGGCTGCGCCGATTGCGCCGGCTGCGCCGACTGCGCCGATTGCGCCGGCTGCGCCGATTGCACCGGTATACACCGAATGCGCCGACCACGCCGGGCTGCGCCGGCCGGTGCACATGCGCTTGCCGGTGCGCAAACCGAGGTGCTACACTGTTTGCCCCCACACTCAATCAAAATGGCTCATCCATAATCTTATTTCGATATTCTATGCATAAGTATTCGCCTGTCTTGATTCAGGCTTCCCTTTTTTTCCATTCATGAAAGCCTCTTAAAATTGGGTTCGGGTTTCCAAGAACTTCTGGGAGTGGCTTTCGGGCTGACTTTGAGCCTTCAAACTCCCGATCGGTCGATGAACTCCCCGTTCTGAATGTATTTCAGAAGGTCTTGGCGTACCGGCTCTGGGGCCTCCAACTCGTCTGAATTGACTCGAGCTAACACAGGGCTAACCGTCGGCAAAGTGCCTTGCCGCCGGGGAAAGCGAACTTGAAGCAGCAAAAGGCTGTGGCCGCACTTGACCTCAGAATTGTTAATGCATCGCCGTCGTTGGCTAGAGCAGAACCAAGTGTCTGCTGATGTGACATGTCGCATGCCTATGCCACAAGGTCGTGCCCTGATTTCCAGGACGGCCACAGGAAGAACAAGATGATGATCATGCCAACTATCTCGAAGTTGTTGTTGAGCTCCACGATAAATCTCCATGATGTGCCGTGGAGACCTTCAGATGGATCTAGTTCTAGCTCTCTGGCCACCCTGTGGCACCTGATCTCTCCCAGACTTGCCTTCGTGTGTCGCAAAAGCACCTAGTAGCTCTAGCGCCCCGACGGTCAAGGCAATCCTTGGATGTAAGAGAGCTGCTCAACAAACATAGCAAAAGACTGCCTGCGCTTATATGCAAGTCCGGCTGCACAGCGGATGTTCCTGTCAAGAACATGTTGTAATACCTCGGTGGCGCTTAGAGGCTTCCGCCAACTCCTGGCTTCGAGTGGAAGCTTCATTGCAAGTTCGAAATACAGCGAGCGAGGGTTCCAGAAGGTTACAAGTAGGATTGCGAATCATTCGCAGGACCCCCTAGGAGAGTTTGTTGCCAGCTTCGTACCGATGCTACCTTCAGTCCCGCCGAAGTTGTGTTGCATCCATGCCCCTCTTTGGCCCTGGTCGGAGAAAGTGGCGAATCCAAATACTGTCAAACACCAGAAGAACATGGGGTATAGAACTCACAGGCTTGCAGTTAGTTTCGCTCCTACATTGCAGCATCATAGCCTCCGATGCTAGCCTTGGTGGGACAACCTGTCCTCCAGCCGCAATGATGCCAAGCATCTCAACCGGGCAGTGTTTTTGCTTCTGGTTGTCTCTGTTTCTGCTTCGCGATCTGTGTGAGCATGCTTGCAAACTGACATGCTTCTGCCCAAAGCTGCAGCCAATCTACAGTCGCTGCATGCTGCCGTCGGCTCCAGATCCGTAGACTAAAGCCATAAGCAGTCCATTGATGGTGTCTATAAGACACATGCCTGCCAAGAACATCAGCGGGAGGAGCATGATGAAAACCTTCGCTGTGCAGCAGCTGCGCATCTAGACTCTAGACCGCCCTGCATTCACGGAATACTAGGCAACAGTAACTATCTTGCAGTGGGTGACTGGGTGTGCAAGGCTATGTGCAAGGCCGACCTCGAACGTCGAGTCAACTACTTGAGAAGGCGGAAACAGCTATGACAGACCAGAAATGACTGCAACGAGCTGTACGCAGCTTGTATTGGCAGCGTACGCTCGCAAACATGCAGGCACTTTGCAGCTTAAGGCTAAGTCTGCGACCATGGCCAGTACTGCAACCTCGCTCGAGGTATCAAAGCCCAAGCCAAATGCAATACCCACAGGATACCTCGTCTTTGGGCAATGGGCAACAGCCTGGTGCTACCCGACGAGGACAGGGACACACACACATATATATATATATATATATGGTTGCGCCCCTGCGGGCCCCCCCCCCTCCCCCCCCCCTCCCCCCCCTATGGTATCCTGTTACGTGTAGGTACTCTGATACATTTTCATAAGTAATCGACGTGTATTCTCCCCGCCCCCCCCTGTGGAACGGCATAGTTTGCCTTGTCTATTCCCCCCCCCCCCGTGGAACAGGATGGTTTGCCCTATTTTCCAACCCCCCCCCCCTGTGGAACAGTATAGTTTTCCCTTTCGCTCTGAGACACACACACACACGCACCATGTCTTTCTGAATGTATGGCCATTCTATCTCCCTCCCCCCTCCTGTGGAACAGGATGGTTTTCCCTTTTTGCTCTGAGACACATACACACACACACACAACCCCACGTGTCTGTGTATGTATGGCATTCTCCGCACATGCTCTCCTGCAAGCCTCCCTTCTATTCTTTGGTGTGCGGTATTCTGCTGCTGCGAACTTCGTCTCCGGTTGCTATGTCTTGTTGAATGTATGGCCTTTCTATCTCCCCAACCCCCTCCTGTGGAACAGTATGGTTTTCCCTTTTGCTCTGAGACACACACACACACACACACTCCGCGTGTCTGTGTATGTATGGCATTCGCCGCACGTGCTCTCCTGTAATGTTACGAAGTATTGCCTGGAACCCTTTTCTAAGGAATTTTACATAGCCTTGCTTGGAAATTTTGGCACACGAGTAATCTTGCTGAGTGCTGCCTAGAACATGTTGCTTACTGCTCGAAGGAAGCCCTGCCTGGAGGCCTTCGGAGTAGGAATAATGTTACTCTGTTTTGCCTCCAAACCCTATCCTTACTGTGGAAATTACGCGGGTGCGTCGCGGGCGGGCCAAGCGGTGTACAATACGCTGTACGGCGCGCCTGTAGCGGGAGTCCTCCAAGTTTTCAGGGTTCAGGCTCCTGTGTTTGGGGGGGGGGATACCATTGGGGGGGGGGGGAGGGGGGGGGGCCGAGAACGCACAGCGCACAACCATATATATATATATATATACATATACATATATAATCACAGGAGACTATTGCACACTGCATGCCTGGCGGCATCTGCCACGGAGCTGTGATTCCGTTGAACATGCCCGGGCAGCAGGTCATGCACATGCCAGCCACAGTGTGCTCGTGCTCGCCGTATCCTGGACGCTGTTGTGAGCAGCTTGAAGCATCTGCACTGCTAGCCCGAGCCCCTTGTTGCCAAGTGTCTGCTTTGCTCCTAAGAAGGACACGACGCCAGCCGCTACAGAATTCACTGCAGACTTAGGACCGGTCTTTCCACGACTGCACTTGCCGCCGCAGAAGGAAAAAATTGACGACCTGCTCAGTCTTCTTCTGATTAACGGGAGCAAAATGTCACTGAGCCCGCACTGAAAAACAGTAGTATAGTTTGCCTACTAGCAACTGCTGTAAGTCCAGCGATTGCTCAGCCATCCGAAAACTCAGCTCTCGCCAAACATCAAAAGTTCTCAGCAGCGAGGGGCAAATGGACAGTGTTACAGTTGTGGAAGTAGCTGTTCGGGGCGCCGTCCATACTCGGATTGCTGTGAACTGTGAGTTAATTCTTTTGTCCGCCATCCCGCCCAACATCTCGGTTTAGATTGCGACCCGACATCTCGTTTAGTTGCGCAGGGTTGCCAAACATCTCTGAGGGTGAGAGCTTCCCACCAACAAATCCCTTTAAGGATCTCTTGCTTTTTATTCGGTTCTTCTACGACTGCAGACGCTGTCCTAATTCCTGCTGCTCTGTAGAAAACAATCCCCTTCAGGGTTCAGGGTTTGAGGTTCCCATCCGGCATCTCCATGAAGTTTGCAAAATACTCGGCATTACCGGCTGGAGCGGCACCCTTAGGATCTGACTCGAACGGCAAACTGCTTTCCCACCACCGCTCTTTCCGTCATCGATGGCAGGTTCAGGCGTTCGGAGCCAACATGCACTTCTCGAAGTTAGGGTGCAGCACGAACGACACCTCGTTTCGGTGTTTAGCAGTTGCCTGCCAAACTTTTCTCAGGGACTTGAGACTCTCCCTTCCAACATCTCGCTTCAAGATTCAGGGTTTGCCAGCAAAAGGCCTGGGTTTGCCACCCGACATTTGGGGCTTCGGGTTCAAAATGTCCTAGCCAATCCCTCCCACTAGGGTTTAAGGCTTGATGGCTAACAACTTCTTGGGCCGGACCATCTAAACTTCAATCACGAAAACAAAGTGTTTTGAGGTGCAGTTTCTCTGACATGAATTTCTTCTGACTGGCCAGCCTATGACCTATGAACCCCAAACGAGACATATCGTGTGGTGAAACCTAGACCCCAAAGGGTGGCGGTGCGCAATCTTGACCACAAGCCTCACCAGGAAAGGATGTGTGGCAAATCCTGCACTCGGGAAAGCTGTATTGCCGGGCACACCATAAAATCATCTAAAACCCTGACTGAAACGGCTTCGACCTGAAAGAAGGAAGGGGAAGGTGACCAGAAGCTGCTGGGAAGTGGATCCGCACAATGGCCGAAGGATTTGCACAATGCGGGTTCTGGGGTGCGCTGAAACATGCTGCTAGAATAGTCAGCGATGGATTTGCACACCAGCCGCGTTGATTCGAAGCCTCAAAACCCTAAACCCTGAAACCTTGAACCTCCAAATCGGAAAAAAACGAAAGACTTCTCGGCTGTTGATGACCCGAATCAACAAACCTAAAACAAGAGCAAAGCCCTAAACACCGCAGCCCTAAAACCCCAAAGTCCTAAGCCCTAAACATCCCTAAACCCTAAACCGGAGAACATCTCTCCGCTAACCCGAAGCCCTGAAAACCTAAAAACCGCAAAAGCCAACGCCCTCACTCTAAAATCCTGAACACTTCGCTTCCCGTGCCTGCGCTATCACAAGCCACAAACCCGAATTCCAAAAACTTGGCACTCAACACTCGAAACGTCAAACCTAACCAAAAGTCGAATTCTCCCTACACCCCGAAACCCTGCAACCCTCTAGACTCTGAACCTACATACCCCAAAGTCGAATGCTCCCCGCAGCCTAAAAGGCTGAAGCCCTGCAGCCGTAAACCCTGGCCCTGAAGCCCAACCTCGCCTCCGATAAACCCAGCAAATTTCGCTTGCTTGAATCGCCGATGCGTGAATCCCTGTGCTCAAATCGCGGGTGCTTCTGAAACTTCAGAAAGATGGTAGATGCCAGTTCAATAGACGAGACGTTGTGTGCTAAATCCTCGACCCGAAGCAAAAGGGATTGTTGGCTGACAAACCGTGAACCTTGCATGAAAGACTGCGGTAACTCTTATGTCGGATGGCAAACCCAGATCTTTTGCTTGCAAGCCCTGAATCTTGAAGCGAGATGTTGGAAGGGAGAGTCTCAAGTCCCTGAGAAAAGTTTGGCTGGCAACTGCTAAACACCGAAACGAGGTGTCGTGCTGCACCCTAACTTCTAGAAGTGCATGTTGGCTCGTAACGCCTGAACCGTATAGCATTTTGCTAGACGGCGGCCGTTGATGAAGAGGAACTGCTCAAAGATATCACATGTAAAATAGTCAGGATGGACAGTACGCATGCAGGCTCAAAGAGCCGTGGTGGGGAAACAATTCTCAAGAAAAGTTTCCAGCTGCAGTCAGATCCCAAAGGTGTCTCTCCAGAAGCTTGAATGCGCCAAAGCCGTGTGAGGCACAGGCTTGATCGACCTTCTGCGGAAGGTGCGGTCAAGAGCCACCCTCCGACAGGGCCTTCCGATGCCCCGCAAGGCCTTCAAGCAAAACCGACAGTCTGTTGGTCGGGAGATTTGGCCACCCAACACCTCCATTGAGGGCTCAGGTTTTGACCCCCTTGGAGTCTAGGGTTCTCCACACAGTGGGAGCCACTCACAGTTTCGTTGAACAGAGCCCCCCGTTTTCCGGTAGAATCCTAACAACAGGACCCACCGGGAACTCCTCCGAAACATCAAAGCCGCATACGTGCAAATCGTGCAAAACACTCCGCTGACCCTACATCGTTGTTCAGCGTTTAAGCTCGCCATTCAACCAACGGGCTTGATAGGGATTCATGGGATCATCCAATACCCACTTCAAGAACTCAGAGAGTCACGCAACACCTCGTTTTAGGCTTAGGGTTGCTACACGCGCTTTCTCAGAGTTTAAAGTCATGCCGTTGCACAGCGGAAAGGAAACATCAGCATCCTCGCAAAGCAGACGGGCATTCTTATTTGGCTAACATCCTTGCCGTTATTGTACCAAGGGAGCTGTATGTCGAGTTTCTGGCTCGGGAGGTGGGATGCCGAGGATGCAGAGAGAGAGAGAGAGAGAGAGAGAGAGAGAGACTGTTGCAGCTAGGCGAGGAACTTCTGCGCATTCAACTACCGTGGAACTCCGAGACTCCAGCTGCGATGGTCACCAAGAAACCTCGAAGGGGTCAAGGCATGGCTGGGCTCTTTAGACATCAGTTGAAACCCCAGGACTTGCTAGGTAAAGTCACCAAGCGGTGCAGATTCCGAAGGAGACAGAGTAGTTCTGCTTGATTCAGGCGGGAGGCTACCTGAGATTGTAGCTCCAAGAAGACCACCACTCGATTCTGCTCTCCTTCGTCACACTTGCTTCAAATGCCAGGGACTGCCAGTGCAATCTGCGGTATGCTTGTTGGCAGAATTGCTTTCGGGGCGAGTCCTCACGGCTTCATGCACCTGCGGGCTCGGCAGCGCCAGCAGCGCGCACCTCGTCAGAGAGGTGCGGCTTGGGGAGTGCCGGCTAAGGAATCCAGAGGCTTTTCCAAGTAAGCCCGGGACACGATTACGACGACCGTCGAGTGGCCCAAAGCGAAGAAGAAGCCCACAGTAACAGGCCGCCTTCCCCCGGTGGTGAGCCTGAAGAAGGCAGCGACAGCCCGGGTTGAGCCGCACCGTCGGTTTCTGATGGAGCGGGACCTCCGAGTGACGTTGTCGATCGCAGCGATGTGGTCTGCATCGACAGCATGTCTGAGCCTGGCATACGTGGGAATCTCACACCGCACTTGCTAATGTCAAGGCCGAAGACACCAACACCAGGCTCTTGGAGAGGGACCCCAGACAGTAGGCCAACACTCCCATGGTTAGGAGCTCGGGCGCCAGCAGCAGTAAACAACCTGCCAGGACCGCCTCGGCTGTGTCGACACATGTGCGAAGCAGACCTGCGCGCCTGCCGTGGCAGGCACTCTTGAGTCTCACTGCTGTGCCGAGAAACCGTGAGGAGGCTGATGCCCGTCAAAACCTTGGCGACCCAAGGTATGACACGGCAGACCGGCAGAGCTTCTCATGCGTGTCTTGGCACAGATACACTAGGACGGGATCTGATTTCCTTGATGAACCCTTTGGAGCTTCCGACCGTGCAAACATGTGCAAACTTGAGGATCGTGAAGCGGCCAGGGCTTGGTACTGCGGAGGATGCATACCCCTTTTGCTGCAGAACAGTGTCCAGCTACTTTTATGTGCCACACCTACTCGATGTTTAGGGAACTGACCCTTAGGTACGAACGCGCGCAAGACTCGCCACTGAAGCCGTAAGCGACACGAGAAAGACGCAATGCAAACGGAAATCGCCAAAAGCTGGGGAAAGGAGTCACCATGCCTACCCCTAGTACAGGGTAGGAGATACGAAGAACAAGTGAGAGAAAAACCGAACAGAAGACTTCAGCAGAGTCAATCACAGGAATGACACGAACGTACCGCAACAAGCATTTGACCAGTAAGCATTTGCCTATTAAGCCGAAGCCAGGAGGAAAGTGGTAGGCAAATGACAACATGAATGTTGCTGCGATGCTCAAAGGGTGCATAAAAGGAATCAGGAGTCAGCCGAGACCCTCAACCTGATCCTGGTTCTTTGCCCTGACCCAGCGGCCATCCCCAGCTCGCTCCGCACTGGCAGCTCAGCCCGAATCAGAAATTGAGCGTTTGATTTCGACTGCCGGTGCTCCACAGGGGCGGCTCTCATGGAAACCCGGTTCCAGTCCGGCACTCTGCTTCTATATAGATATCCCGACATGCGGCCCCCGATGGAATCACAACATCTGATTCCCTCTCTCGCTCTCACTGTCCGTCCTTCTGGCGAGATGCTGGAATGGCTTGCTTCTTGATCGCCTCCTGCCGCATCGCAGCTTTGTCCCCGTCCTGCCCAAGCAGCTCCTGCCGGTTCGGGAGGCACAGCACGAATCATTTCCACATGCATGATCATAGGCGATGGCATCCATGACACATGGAAAGCAATGACATGGAGTCCTCGGAAAGCATACCGCTTGCCGTCATTGCCCAGGAGGCAACTTCTGAAAGGGCTTTTGCGTCGACTCGTCACGGCACTCCCAGACTCTGTAGGCTGCGCTCCACGACTCTTGCCTTCTCTTGCATTCTGCAGGTTTTACTGGCACGACAAGGCTGGCTGTACTGAGAAAGCTGTGCGAAGTGTGACCTGGACAAAACATGAGCACAGCTGAACAACACATTGCAGCAACAACAAAGCCAGGTGTCACTGTCGGAAGATGAGATTCCAGGATCCAGGCAAACTTTTCCAGCCATGCTGTATCTCTGTCAGTGTGTGCCCTATGGCTAGCATGCACTTGAGTGGAGGTGGCAAAACCCAGAGGCGAACAAATTGTCTGGGGTATCCCGCTATCTCGTGGAAAATGGATTTAGTCCGCCCCTAGTCTTGTTACAAGAGGCGACCGGGCTTGGCCGGTTGCTCACCTGTGGCCATGGGTATGTCCAACAATCTTTGGCAGACTTTGTGCCAAAGAAAAAATACTCTCCACATCCCACCCTTCCGAAGAAGACTCCGGCAGCTTCACAGTTGGAGATGCGGGAAGCACTCGGCCGGCCGCTACGCTGGAAGCGGTCACTTTGAGTGACAGGGCAGGCGAGTACGCGTGATGCCTCGTTTGCATATGAAGCTCTTGCTAGCCACTTGTTCCTGGTTTGAATTTGCATGCCTCTGCAGCCTGCTGTTCAGCTTTAGGCTACGTTCATTTCCGAGGAAGGCTGCTGATGTCTGGCTGCGTCGAGACTGGATGCATAACCTTACTGAAGTTTGCACTCATTCGGGTGCACTGCGAATCCATCCTGAGGTACGGTGGATGCATTTTTGACGGGCTGTGCATGTTGCCAGTGCGAGGAATTCATGCAACAAATGACCTGACCAACAGTTCATTTTTCTTAGCCCCGACGACTTCCAACTCACATCCTAACCTGTGGCTCTTCTTATCTGCCCATCCATCGTGTGAAAGTCCCGGAGGCTGAACTCCCCAATTACAATCGTTCTGTGTACTCCACCGCTCACCTCCCAGACCAACGTCTGCTAGCCAGGTTGCTTGGCTGCGTCCGTGTGTCAAACCACAGCACCGCAAGCCTCCAACAGAGCTTCAGCCCCAATCTACAGATCATCAAAGGAGGCCATGCACAGGCTCCTGACTAATTTCTACAATGCAGGAGCGCCTCTTCCTTCGGGAATAGATACTTGAAGCCAACATATGCCGCCATAGCGATCGACCTGAGCTTTCGAGAGGAAACTGGCTTGCGCACACATTCCTGTTGTTCTGATTGCAAGGAAACGTTCCACTCGTTCCAACGTGTACACCATGGCTAGTTACGATCTAGCGGATCTAGTGAGGTCCACCAAGACCGACTCGCTGCAGCATGTCCGCTCAAAACAGCAGGTATCACACTTGCCTGGTAGCTTCCGGTGGCAACTGCAAAAGATCTTCTCAGCCTGGTCCCAAAAGTTCTCCCAGCACATAAATCTACGACACTAAACCGGAGGACGTATACTCGCCAGGAATGGCTGTTCCCTACCAGGGGCTTCTAAGGCTTCCTATCACCCCAAAAATAGCAATGGTCATGGCAACGATCGGGATCCCTGTGACAAGGAGGACGACGACGATGATTCCAATGACGGAAACGATGGCGACCTTCCAAGAATACGGCTACTCGAACTATAACTGTGATTTTGAGCTGTGTTGACCCCGGTTGACAAAACATCTTTCAGGTTGAGCTCTTTCTGCAGAGCGTCAGAAAGAAGACAACAATCACGATTCCCACCGTCTCAAAGTCATTGTTGAGCTTCGTGATAAACTCCCAAATGGCACCATGAAGATCTGCGGCATGCAGCAGGCGCATCGTGTGGATCACTCACGGCTTGCTTACAAGCTTGCACCAATCTCCTGAAAACTGGACACCACACTCCCTGCCTTCACAAGTTGCTAAAACCCCCAGCAGCTCCAAAACACCGACAAGGAGAGCGATCCTTTGTTGGATACATTCCGATGCCAATCAATCGCGAAGTCATGCTACCCACAACGTAGCTGATCCAAGTATCGCAGCCGACGTTGCCGTCACGACCATGTTGTAATACCTAGACAGCGCTGCACCCTTCCAAGATAGACAGGGTCTCACTGTGTTCTAAACGGATGGAGCAGAAGACCACATTTGCAGAATGAGGATGCTTATGCAGCCAACTTGCAGCCTCTGCTTGTTGCCATCTTTGCCTGATCCATAAACCCACGCCATGAGGATCCCATTGGCAGTGTCTATGAGGCACATCCCGACCAAGAACATGAGTGGGAGAAGCATCACCCATGCCTCCGTGCAGCCAGTGCTACATGAAGCGTTGAAGTGAGTTCAAGCCCGACAATACCAAGCACTTGCGGCCAGTAGCTGGATTCTCAAGACTGTGTGAAAGGCCAACCTGGGAAGGCCAGAAAAAGACTTCCCTTTCGACACTGGGATCAGATTGACATGTGCTGCAGCATGTTGGTCACTTCAGTTACGTGTACTGCCATGACAACCTGCCCTGGCAGTCCGAGGTCAGAGCCATGGCAAGCACGGCCACTTCGCTTGAGGTCTCGAAGCCCAAGCCAAAGGCAAATCCAACTGGAAACCTTATAGCCAGGTACACACGCGGGGTGCAATCAGCAGACAAGCCTGATGCAAACGGATGTAATCGCTGCCGAGCTGCATGTGCCAGGGAGCTGCAATGCCACTGAACAAGCCCGGACAGCAGGTGGTGTAGAACCCTGCAGTGGCATGATGATGGTTGGCATATCCTCAATTCAGCGAGAAAGGCCGAGGTGCTGGGCTGATTACGGGGCATTTGAGCTAAGCCTGCTTGCATGGGGCCGGTAACTGAGGCCATGTAGCCAAGAAGCTTCCATCATCCTAGACAAGGCCCAGCAGTCGGACACCGCGGTAGGAAACACTCCCGCCACCAGTGGATGCAAGCGACAACCAGCAACATGCCCCAAAGTAGCAGTCCTTCCAAGACCGTCCCATCGACAGAAGCAGAACGAAGTTGATAACCTGCTCCCAGTGCATGGCACGACTGACAGAACCCACCATGAGATGCTCACAACTTCGGACATCGCAGATGCGACAAAGACACTCGACAGCTACTTGCATGATGCTCTGTTTGTAGCTCTCCCTGCACCAGAGTAGCTGAATCTCTGCCTATGTCAGATGCATTCGAGATGTTCGCCTCTTTACTGTACCGGGATGACTTGACCAATCGGGAAGAAAAGGCGACAGCATGATCACCATTCAAAGGTCTACTAAGGTAACCACTCTGTTCCTCTCAGTGCCCGGCAGCTATCACCACTAGAAAGCCTTGGGTGCTGTGAGTTGCCAGGCTTGTGTCTGTGGAACATGACGACAGATTGCGTCAGGGAGCCGCCGGAAAAGATTGCTGAAACCATGCCACCGTTCGACTCCAATTTCCTGCACGGATTGCCATCACTCAGTCGACAAAAAGACTGTCTGCTGCTGGGCTGCTCATGCCAGTGAGCGTATAAGATCTACGAGAAAGTCTCGGAGGCATCCTCACGGCTTCATGCACCTGCGGGCTCGGCAGCGCCAGCAGCGCGCACCTCGTCAGAGAGGTGCGGCTTGGGGAGCGCCGGCTAAAGAATCCAGAGGCTTTCCCAAGTAAGCCCGGGACACGATTACGACGACCGTCGAGTGGCCCAAAGCGAAGAAGAACCCCACAGTAACAGGCCGCCTTCCCCCGGTGGTGAGCCTGAAGAAGGCAGCGACAGCCCGGGTTGAGCCGCACCGTCGGTTTCTGATGGAGCGGGACCTCCGAGTGACGTTGTCGATCGCAGCGATGTGGTCTGCATCGACAGCATGTCTGAGCCTGGCATACGTGGGAATCTCACACTGCACTTGCTAATGTCAAGGCCGACGACACCAACACCAGGCTCTTGGAGAGGGACCCCAGACAGTAGGCCAACACTCCCATGGTTAGGAGCTCGGGCGCCAGCAGCAGTAAACAACCTGCCAGGACCGCCTCGGCTGTGTCGACACATGTGCGAAGCAGACCTGCGCGCCTGCTTTGGCACGCACTCTTGAGTCTCACTGCTGTGCCGAGAAACCGTGAGGAGGCTGATGCCCGTCAAAACCTTGGCGACCCAAGGATACCAAGAGGAAAACATAGCAGGACTTGCCTGACCGTAGCTTCAGATGCAGTTGATCACTCTTTTCTTCTGAAGGTCTTGGGATAGCCTGCTGTCGTTGTCCCTGCAGAAAACCCAAGACCAGCAAACAAGCAGAACTTGACGGAGCGCATGGCCCCGAACCCAGTCCTCAACCCCTCCTCGATCCGAACGAAGAGCACTCCGAAGCCTCAAGTAGACCTCTGTGCGCCGAGATGCTGGGACTGCCTGTGTCTTGAGATCAGCGTGGATCGCTGCATCGCTTGCTTCCGCCCTGTGCGTCAGCAGCTCCTGGTAGCAAGTAATACTGGAATGACAGCTCTGCTTTATTCGAATACTGGCTGGGACTGGGGGGAAACCGGCTGACGCAATAAGTCCTCGGTCAGCGTGCTGTCCGGCATCACGCACCAGAGCTGCAAGATAATAGCGTATGCAGACAGAAGGAGCTAAGTTCACTTTCACTCAGTGTCAGCAGGTAAGCAACAACCAATCAATGCTGTTCCCAGGTAATCTTCGCCTACAGACAAAACCAGTGCCTAAGCTCAGCGTGGAAAACGGCATCAGCTCGAGTACACGTGAATTGACAGCATAGGTGGTGCAGACAGGCAGGCTGCAAAGTTGTGAGAATACATTGGGCTTTTCAATTCTTCATTCGTCGACGTGTGGCATCTTGGCTGAAGAATGAGGCGTAGCCTTTTCATCTCGTGGAACGACTCAAGGTCGAAGTGCGCAAGCTTTGTACAGCCGTAAGCTGCACAGCCCTTGTATGCAATAGCTAAGCCTGTGTGAATTCCCATTCTAGCTCCGCCCAATGGGCGCCTGGACACGAGTTCTGGCAATTGCCATGCCTCATCAGAGAAAGGGGCAGCACCTCGTTCCGGAAAGATGCTGCTTGTCGAGCCCATGTTGCTGAAGTCCCTGCTGAAACTTCCTGGGAGTGTTGCCCACAATCGCCAAGGTCCAATTGAAATGCGGTGAATGCCTCCAGATGGATCCAAAACAGACCCTACCGAAGTAGTCGTAGGTACATCGGCAGCGGTGGCGGTATGGTCGTACACGAGCGGGCGTCCAGGCCTGACCATTGATGACTCAAAGACCCTGCAACGGTGCTCCATGGAGTTGCGCTGAGGTTGAACAGCCGGACGTTGTTGAAGGCTAATCAACTGCAGCAAAACCATCGTCACTTTCTTCCTTCATGCCCAGCTTCTTGAGGAGCTTGCTGATATGCTCCTTGCCAACTGGTTCGCTGAGTGTGATGCTAGGGTCGGCTTCAAATTTTGCGCATTGTTTTGGCGGTCTTGATTGCTACGTCTTTTTTCAGCAAGCCTAAAAGACGGGGTTCGTTCTCGTTCTTTCGCTAGGCCGGGGGGAAGCCTCTCGCTCTAGTACTCTTCCTCATGTTGCGGGTGCCAAGGCTCAGCAAAGACCCCGCACCAGACCAGGTAACCCAAAGGCTAACGGCACGCTCACAGCTAACCATACTTGCAATCCCTCAACCTCTCAACTGCACATACCATGCTCCGGGGACCGCTGACCTGGTCTACGTCGTTCTTGCTTTCGCCAAGGCTAAGCTGAAGGGGCTTGACCTGCTCTGTCTCTCTCGCTGTCTTTCGCTCCCTCTCTACAAGCCGTGGAGGAAGCCGCGGTCCAACTGCCCCCGCGTGCGAATTCGCACACCCGCGCTGCAGAGGCTCGGCTGTACTAAACCACGACCGCCAGTCTGAGGGCCTGGCCGAACAAAAACAATTCAGATGATACCGAGGAAAGGTAGCTTCCACCATTCAAAGTTCAAACACACAGGCCTTGCTGTCATAGCCTACTCCCCCAAATGCTACCGTGGTTCGGCAAACGGATTTCACAACTCTGGTGAAGTATGCATTGCCCATGCAACCCTGAGCTTTCAAGGGCTCAGGTGGAGGGAAATCCCCCGCAGAAAGTTCAGTAAGCACAACAACCAAAACCCATTAAGGCCATTCGGGATGGATCCCCCCCACCCGCATGTTGCATGGGCTACTATATTTTGCGCATGTCAGGCTCAGACTTCTTTTTGAAGCAGCGGCATATGGTTTCAATTCCCTCCTCGTCCCCTCAGTACATCATGGCGCTGTCCCTCTCGACTTCGCTTGCCGTGGCGCCCGCCGGTCTTGCCTTTGCCTCATTCATGTCCTGTCGTCTCAGCTTTTCCCCTTTTTCGGGTAAGTGCCTGTTCATCTGGCGCTGTGTCAGCTTGGGCTGCTACTCGGAGCATTTGGTCGCGTAGCAATGACTTAGTTATCCTGCTGCTTTGGGTGGCACTGCATTCAGATTGCATCTTGACGATCGCCCGCTCCTTGGTTGCACCGGCTTCCATGTCAATCCGAGGTCCTGAACCTCCATCTGCAGAGGTGGGTGCTTGACCTGCAAGAGGCCTTCTACGAGGGATCCACAAGGCGCGTCGCATTCATGAACAGGGCGGCACGCCAGATTGGCGGTAACGCAGTGCATGCGGCCTCGCGCCTACCTCCCGGAGGCCATGTTCACGGGGACCGTAGTTTGACCACGAGGGCTTCCATCTTGAGGTCTTCCCGGTGACGTAGAGCTCGTTGTTGACGCGGTGCTGAGTCGTGTCGTAACAGGTCCCCGGTGGTACAGGTAGATCTCGGCTGAGGTTGTTTCACTAGGCTGGGCTTGTCATTCGAGTCCCGTTTTCTGACAAAGGCGCAGGGGTAATCGTCAGGGTCGCCCCCCTTCCCTCTGGTGTCGCAACCTCCAGCATGCTCCGGCAAGAGGCGGCAGTTCCGAGAGCCTTTGCATCAGCTCCGACATGGGTGCTGTAGTGGGAGCTGGTTCCCAGTCGCCTTCTGTATTGTTGCAGGGCTGAGGCAGGTGAGGTGCGGTTCAAGTAGAGGGCGCTCGCCGAGAGCAGGAGAGAAGGGTAACCGGGTGTTGCGGTGTGCGGTGGCAGGCTTTGATGGGCTTTGTGTTGTGGATTGTTGTGGGTCAAGAAAACGGGCACCGGGTCCACTCCAGCACAGTTGTGTACAGCAAGCCCATCATGCCAAAATGGTGCATGGGGCCGCTCGGACGAGCGGGAAGGGGCCCTTTGGCCACATCGTTTCAAGAACACTCGGTTTTGCTGAAATGCGTAAAGCCGCCATGTTAAGTCAGAGCCTGTTCTCCGCTGTCTTGCTTGCTTGCTAGACCCGCGCCGAAGCCCCCGACCCTCAAACGTTCGTGAGGGTAAAAGGCTTTGAGGTCCAAGGGACTGCTTGTCAGTCCAAGGTCGGAGTTGCTGGTAAAGTACGGTTGCTGTTATCCCCCCAAGCCCTGAACACTAACACGCATCCCGGCCTCATCCCCGCGCCCTTTATGGCCAATCCTTAGCACCTACAGCAACCGTGCTCCAGCAACTGGCAAACGGTTGTGGCAGCGTGAAGACTCGCAACCTGCAGGCTACAGTAACACGAAATAGTGTACGACAACACGTATGACCTCCCCACGGTAGCTGCAAAGGCATGACATCTAACCAAGCTTTAAGCTGTGGCCATGGGCCTGTTCCCCACCAAATGCCATAGTATGCTATGCAGGTAAAGGGCAGTGGGGCTCAGCGTTCTTACCAAGTGATGAAGTAGGATCTGGCGCTTGCGCGGGCCTGCTGGTACAATGCTGAGACTTATCATAACCTACTCTAATCTAGTTTGCATAAGGGTGTCTTTTGATTCAAATGCCAGCAAAAGCCCGAACCCCATAATCATGCACGAAACATCCCGAGCTCAAAATCCAGGCCGATTACGTCCAGAAGTATGAGTGAAGTAAGGGGGACGGGATTTCGTGGAAGATGGACTTGACATCATCATCAGAAATGTCCCTGGAACTGAAGCCTAAACCTGCGGCCTGCAAAGCAACGACGCAGACAAAAACAACAGCAGGAATGGGACCTAAAAATCATTGAATCTAAACCCTAAATGCTACCCTGGCTATGCCTACCCGAGGCTTTGATTGCCGGCACTCCCATCTTCCAGGGCTCAGGATTTGTTGCAGTTAACCGGCTCTCCTTTTATGACCGGTTTTAAAGATTGAGGCTGTCCAGTTGGCTTTCGAATCGTCTAGGGCTGACAAGCGTAGGATGTAAGGACACGCGAATACCGTAGCTTTGTTGGGGGTCCGTACTCTGGTTGAGAGAACTATCCACATGCAAAACTCTGCACCGCCAAATCCCTGAACCATTCAAACATGATATCAGCCGCTGGAGTTCCAACCTCAACACACAAGAAAGGCCCGAGGCTTCGGTTTTGCACATATCAGAAACACTTGTGAGACACAGGATGTAGAAGCCAAGCAGCTGTCCCAGGTCGCGTTTTGCTACTTCCCTCGACAAGATACGAAAAGATTCGTTTTGTTTAACGGAGTGAATGAAACTTCAGACCAAAGCCATGAAAAGCCATAAAACGTGAAACACCGGCCCAAACCTGACCCCTACAATCCAAACCTCAACCCCAAAGCCCTAAATTCACAGAGAAGCGGCGGCTGCTGCCGCTTCTGCTAGCACTGCTACAATTTAAGGTCCGAAAAGCGCAAAAGCAAAGCAAGACACTGCCTCCAGCTCGGCTGCCAGGGCCTGCTCGAGGGGCTTCTGAGTCTTGCTTGGTGTCCGGAAACAAATGGGGTGGCTCCAACTTGTAGCTCCCTGGCGTGCATCCGCCTTCGGCGGTGGGTGGCTCCGTTCCCCTCGCTGGGCTCACTATCCCCGCTCAGGCGGTCTTGTTGTTGAAAGCTTCCGCTGGATCGGCCAGTCGGGCAAGTTGGCGGGTCCCCCACATGCTCAGTTCGCCGTCGTCGTTGCATTCCCACCGTTCGTCTTCTGTTTCGGTGCCGGGGATGTCGCCCTGGTCCCGGCCAGCGAAGGCCTCCGCCCGTTCGGCTCGCCTGTGCCTTTGTCCCACGCTCTCGGTCCCCGTTGCGAGGGGTCGGGCCCCTGCCGGCTGCCAAAGGAGGTCGTTGTGTTGGTGCGTTGTAGTAGCTGGCGGCGGCGGGTCCCATCTCACGGTCTCCGCCATATCGTCGGACACCAATTGGATAGGCTCTTGCCAGAGCGCCGTGGTCCAACACTCCAGCAATTGCAGCGCCTCCATTGCGAACGGCAGCTGGTCCCCGACTAGAGTGGGCACGAGTTGTTGGAGCAGCTGTTGGGCTCGCAAGATCATGTATGGCGTAGCCTCCCCGTTGGCTGCTGCCGCTGCTCCTGTATTTGCCGGTGCCCCCTGCGTGTGAATTTTTCTCCTTTTGGCTGCTGGAGCTTCTGGTTGAGCTGTTCGACTGCTGTCGGTGGGTAGTAGTGGATAAGGTGTGTTCCCGATTGTATTGGTCGTGGCTGGGGGCTTCCCCGCTGTGCTGGCTGCTGTGGTGTGGCTGTGGGTACCGCGGGCGTTGGTGGCAGTTGGCAGTTGTTGCTCTTCATCGGGTTGCGTTGTGGATCCGCTATCAGCTTGTGTGGCTGCTGCCGTGGGGTTGCCGGTTGTCACTCGCACTCGGTCTGTTCCCCTGCTTCTATTGCCAGTATTGCTTGGAGCATGGCTTCCTGTGTGTCTTCACTGGGTAGGAGCCAGGCTGGCCCACGAGGGGGAGGATTTTCCACATGCGTCGTTGTTGCACACGCTGTGTGCTCCGCGATCCTGCTTTCTGCTGCGCTGCCGGTACCACTGCTGGGCATATTGGGCTGCGGGGGTTGAAGTAGATCACGTAGCTGGCGGATGTTGTGATACTGTGGCGGTTGTGGTTGTGGTTGCTCCTGGTGATATCTCTTGCTTTCTTGCTGTTACTGTGGCTCCTGGGAGGGCTCCGTGCATCGTAAGTGGGTGTCTGTTTGCACCAGGGCAAGGCCTGTGGTGAGTGGTTCTGCTGAGGTCATTGCCCTGCTGCTCTGTGTCGGCTGCCGCTGACTGTGGCTCGTCCTTCTGGGCTTCTGCGCTCTCCTGGTAGGTGGGTCCCCCTTGCGGGCTGCGGCTTCCGGCCCGCGGTTGTTGTGGTACTACGGTGGTTGTGGTTGTGGTGGCTCATGGTGCTGTAGGGGGCTTCCTGGGGTCCCGGACGCTGGGGCTTGTGCTGCGTACCCATCCGCGGGAGGGTGGCAGTGCTTGATTGCAAGAGCTCCGTTTTGCGTCGCCGCTGTTGCTGGAGCTCTGGTTTGGTGGCCGCTGTGGCGCTAGGGGAGGCCTGGCTTTGGGCACGCACGGGGTGTGTGTGACTCTTCTTCTTCTTCCCCGGGGCATGAGGGGGTTTCGTGTGACTCTTCACTTCACTTCACACAGGGGTTAGGCTTCAGCGAAGCCCGCGCCTAGGCGCCCCCTTTCCCCATGCGAAGGTGGAAAGGGGCATTGGGGCTGAGTTGCTCGGGGCTTGTGCCCAAGTGGTCGGTTTTGAGAGGTGTCGAGCGCCTGTCTCGGTAACCCGACCCTCCCTGTACTTTAACGCGCGTCCCGGCCTCATCTCCGCGCTCACTAAAGCACAATCCTGGGTCCCTCGACAGGCGCACGTCCCCTTACTTCGTCTGGAAGCTATCCCCCACTAGATCAAGCAACAACTGAGTACGTGTGACTCTCTCTCTCTCTCTCTCCGTTGTCTGGCTAGCTCCGAGCTGACAGCAGCCTCTTTGTGTTCTGGTCGGTTGTCAGTCCTCGGGAAGTCCGGCCAAAGCGTGCTGGCAGGAGAGCACTTCCAACGTCAAAAGAACGGATCGCTGTGCAGCTGCTGCCTCCTGAAAAGACATGGGCAGATGCAGGGCTGGGGTTGCACATCTGGTTGACACTTGAAGCTACCTTGACCTGCTGCTCCAGTAGGCTTTGAAAGGCATCATCTGAAAGAGTTGACCTTCTCGCTGCTACCCCTGCTACATCGTCCAGGCCAAGCTGCAGGGGTCAAGGCGTACCAGAAATTCACACCTTGGAGATCTGAAAATAGAGCTTGCTGTCGCTTCGAACCTGCAAGGTCCTCATGTCTGTGCGGCGGTGCGGCCAAGAGTCTCATAGAGAAGGGTAGGGCTTCTGGCGCCTGCGGCTGCCAAGTGCGCACGGAATGCCACCAACCCGGTGGGATGTAGATGGCCTCGTCTCGTAAAAAAACCGACACATGCAGCTGGACAGGATTGGACAGGTACGGGACACGTCTTTGACGCGATCTGCAAACAAAACAAGCGCAAACCTGAGGATCGCACATCTCCAGGGTACAGCATAGCTCGAGCGACCGGTTCCTGCTTCAGTCGATGCTCGATCAACCGATTCGGCACGAGCGGTGTTGCAAACTGATGCTCCTTCATTTCCTCCACCATGGCCGGATGTGTCAAGCTGTTCCTGTCTACGAAACTACAGATACCCACAGTGACACGAAGCCCCTGTGACCAATTCGGAGAAGTGTCTCTTCGAAGAGCCGGTCAATGGAAACGAGCGTGTAATCAGACGTGGACTCGATCGACTGCATGTCGCACTTTTCCAGCAAGATCCTCCGCGAGACACGCAATGGTCTGCCAACTGCAGCGTGGGGCAGGCAATGGTCTGCCAGGTGCCGTGGAAACTGCACGAAAAACACGCCTCCCTCTGCGCATGTCGCCATCGTAAAGGTGCAATGCAACCACAACAGTGCCCAAGTCCCCCGAAAGCCCCTTTTCTGGCGAGCTGGAGACACTTGGCATCGCGACTGCAGCAGCACACCAGAAGATTTGTGTGGCACCGGTGGGGCCCCAAGTTAGGCTTGGCCGCCTAGTAGTAGTGACGTTCCCTCGGCCCATTCGGAAAATCCAGCCGTCCACGGAGGGTGTCCGCTTCCCAAGTCTCTGACTCTCTCACTCCTATCATTGACCCTTCCGAAAGTCAATTCGGCTCCTGGTTGGGTCTCTGGCCTCCCTGTGTTTCCAGTCTCCTTCCGTCCCAGCTTCTCGATTCCCTTCCCATGCCCTTACTAAGGTCCCCAACGTCCGCTCAGGAGAAGCTTTGCTTTCGGATCATGTCAGAAAAGTGCTTTATGCAAAGGGACGGCTTCAACTGTGTCTCAGAGATCGAGTACATCCTGTTGCCTGTTCCTGTCAAGACATGACCAAACCAGGACCTCGGCCCGGGGGCCCTAATCAACCCGATTGGAGAGTCGAAGCAGACAGGGAAAGAAGAGAAAAGCCATCATCACAGCAATCACCTCAGCAAGTCTTGACAAAAAAGGCAGGGACTTAGAGATCAGACATGATTTCGAATGCAGATGCAAGGAGCGAAAATCAGAACGCCTACATCAAGGGCCGTGCGGCGAAGACAGAAATCGGTGCTCCTTCCATGTTCCGAGGTCGACATGTTCCACTGGGCTTGTCTGGCGAAGCGCGTTCCATACCTGAACGACTCACGGGTGAGAAGTGAAAAGGAAACGCCACTGCTTGCGCATGACGGCTGCGGAGAGAATGCATCGGAAGCAATGACTCACTGTTGGTGCGGCTTCTCCCGCATAGTGTCTTCAGCACTGTCGCACATGCATGTGCACAAGTAACTATACTAGCATGCATCATCAATCCATCCCATCCATGCGTGCGGGCATGCAGGCAGACAGACCGACAGACAGACAGACAAACAGACGGACAGACAGAAAGACAGAAAGACGGAAAGGCAGAAAAACAGAAAGACGGACGAAAAGACAGACAGACGAAACTACATTAACATGCATACAAAAGCAGTTACGTGCAGACGTACGATGACGTACGTATGTGCGTCCATCGTGCATACATCTTAGGGGTGATTTCTGTTTGCGTACGTGCACACCTTCATGCACACACTTCTTTCATTTACTCCACAATTCAGAAACACACAGGCTTCGGAATCTGCTGCCAAGCCCAAAGAAATGCGCGTCGGCGGCCAAGATGCAAGGCTGGAGCTTGCAGAGGAGCTACGAGAAACACCTGCCACTCACGACTTCGCAGCGCTTCCTGTCTGTCTATAAACGCGCAAACCATTGCAGCCAAACTGCATAAGAACCCAGAGCTGGTTACGAACGTCTTTTCTGAATCTGGGAACGATGGATTCTTCGGGCCTCCTTCTTGCCGCTGATGACGGCATGGAGGTTCTGAAGGTGATCCCAGTGGAAGCCCGCTGTGAGGTGACGAGTGCCCTGGAAAGCAAGATGCAACACGGCTCCCATTGTGGTGTTCCCAATCAGCACTGCGTTTAGATTGGATCGGGGGGAGGAAAGCACGTTGGATCTTCCCGCCTCTGGGCCTCCTGCGCACATCCACAAACGGCGCTCTCGTAGAAACGGCTGCCAGTCAGGCATGTCGAGCTTAGTTGTCAGATCTCCATGCACGAACTCCTGTCAAAAGAATACAATTTCCTTACATTGCCATGTCCTACGACCTCCAATGTGCCCCGGTCCTGCAACAAATCGTCCGGCCAGTCAGCTGCATCATCCACGCAGTACAGCGACAGTTGCTGCAGCTCGCTCAGCGGCACGTAGAGTACGTCATGCAATGCCTGTGACAAGGCCATCAGGCGGAAACGTGCGGAAATCACTGGCGTGCTCGCGTGGTCTCTTGATCACTACCTGTGTCTGCTAGGGTTTCGTCTTCTTTCAAGCTTCCCCGTGCACCGACGGCTCCTGCACGGCTGTACCTTCCGCGAAATGCTCGCGAGGTGACCACGGGAAGTAGATTACACTGGCACCCTCAGCAGTACGGTGTAGGCGAACCTTAGAGTCCATGCTTGCAATCCTGCACCTTCATCACAGTCCCTGCCCTCTTCATCCTGTTAGTATCTGTTAGTCCTCTCAATCTGCGACGTCATCTTCAACTACAACTCCATCTTCACCATCATCACACACATCATCGAGTCGCGATGGAAGCCAGCCCAATGTCTTGCTGCAAGGCCATCCTTTTTGAAGGCATGGCCTGGTCACCGGGACGTTATGGCATGTCACGACCGCACTCAGCAGAAAATCAGCCAGGTGGCTTTGAGACCTCCTGCATGTCTCCTGAAGACGTCCGCACCAACTGCACCACCATCACCGTCACGGTGCTTACCATCCTCATCTCCCTCCCCGTCCTTCTCCGTCTCCTCCGGATCCTGCTCCTCGCCCGTGTTCTCCCTCCTCCCTCTGCTCCTCCTGCTCCTCCTGCTCCTCCTGCTCCTCCTGCTCCTCCTGCTCCTCCTGATCCTCCTGCTCCTCCTGATCCTCCTCCTCCTCCTCCTCCTCCTCCTCCTCCTCCTCATCATCATCATCATCATCATGAGGCTGATCATCTTCACCATCATCGCCATCACATTCGGACCTTTGGTATTGTGATTATCAGTCTTGAGCATCCTGTTCATTACCGAGCTCGTCTGAACGCATCTCAATATGTTTCATTCAGAACCCTAGGTTCCCGGGTTCTGATTCGGCTCTGTGCGCCTCGAAGTCACGGTCAGCGTCCGCATCGTCAGCATCATAAGGCATGCTCACCTCGTCTGCATGCCAGCAATTGCAAACACTCGTCACGTCGACCTGATCTTATTGCCGAGTTGCAACACGAGCCGCCGACTCGGTTGGCCCGACCACTCCATGCTTCAGCTCCGCAGCGCTCAGGAAGTCCCCGAACTTCATCTCCAACCGCCCCGGATTGATCAATCTGGGCAAAGTGCCACAGACGAAGGGAGGAAATCCGTCAAAAATGCTAAGCCTTAGCGGCCCACCCCCGGGCGCCTGGGCGCTTCAGCTCCCGGAGGCTCGCGGACGGAGCGGTGCTTCGTCTGGAAGCTTCGGGGGATCTCGTAGTTGAAGAAGGACGCCGTCGGATCAAAACTGACCTAAAATGCCATGCTGCACACCGCGAGGAAGTGCCAGAGCTGTCACTACAGCAGAGAAAAAACATCTCGGCTGCTGCCAGCATTGATATCATTCAAGCGGCTAGGCACCTGAACGGCTCTGATCAAAGCATATCAAAGCGCTGCTCTTCAGGATGCTTCACTCTGCTGGACGTTGCTGGCGCAGACCAGCCTTCTGTTCCCCAGACGTCGTCGAAGCAATTGCACTTTGTCCTGGAACCGCCCCTGGACCACCATGGGCCAGTCAGCAGCAATACCGCGCCTTAAGTGATGCTGCTTGTACCACAGGCCGCCTCATGCTCCCGGACTAAGGTGGCCAGGCTGCAGCACACACGGCTGGCTCCGCGCTGCAAAACCTCGATGCTGCTTGCCATGTGGTAATGTCACAGTGATCTTCCTGCACACTCAAGGCCGCGCCTTTGAAACGGTCCAACTCCCAGTGAGCCACCTCTTCCAACTGCTGAAGACACATCCCGAAAGCCGGATGCGGCCTGAGAATCGCAGAGAAACATGTGGGTAGAGCGCATCATGGGATACTAGATGTTTCCAGGCGGTTGCATTGCAGCTGAGAGACAGTATTGTTCGTGCACAACATGGCTTATCACCCGAGCAATTGCTGGAGGGGGGCGATGAACTTCTCATAGCTGCAGAATGGCGGAACCCTTTCCACGACCCAAGATGCCAAGACCCTTGTGCTCTTCTTTGGCGCGCGACTGTTTCACCGCACAGAGCAAGGAGTACCGACAAGCGCGCCGCGGCAGCAAGCCTATGTCTAGTGGACTCAGGCCGAAGGTCGACACGGCATACATGACTGAGGTTACGTTAGAGTCTCCGCTCTGTTGCGAAACCTTCCTGGCACCAAGCGAACTAGACTTCGGGTCATTATCACATCAACACACCGGTAAACGGAAGGGTGTGCATTGATTACAGGTGCCAGATGAAAACCTGGCAGAAGCTCACTAACAGCTCCGGACTCCTCTTTGGAGCCCTCGAAGCACGGCGAGGCTGCTCTTCAGCGTCGCCCTTGTCTGCACTCTCTCGCTGTGATTTCCGACTTTTTGCGACAATGTGACTGTAGCACACTGCGACTCTCGCTACCCAATTCAAGGGGAAGGTCGCAAGACTGTAGAGGTGGCCAAGCGTTTGCTTACGAAGCATCTCCACAAATCAACAACGATAAGAGTACGACTGCTCAACATTTACCAGGAAGAATCTTCAGCGCTCCGGCTCTGCAAATTGCCACAAGAAGGCCTGTCAAGAAGGCAATACAAGCCAAAGCAGTTTCCATGGAATGGATCAAGTCGTTTGATGGCCTGATTCATCGAAACTCGGCGCTCTCGTCTGTTGCTCCGTCCCTCGCAGAATGCTCAGTGTCTGAAGCTGGTTCATGGCTTCGCCATCCCCCAGTCTGCGACCAAACTCACAGCTAAGCCAAGGAGCATCTCTGGGTTTGCATGGCGAGCTGGCATCCATCAAGGATTCGGATGTGTCCGAAGCCTGGAAACTCATCGACAGCTTCACTGCCGAGTTGTAACTACGCTTGCAGGCTGCGTAGAACGCACATGGTCGTTGAGGGTTTTTCGTGTTGAACCAGAACTTGCTGACGAGATTCGACACTGCTCGCTGCAGCCTCATCTCCTGCTGCCTGTAGATGTGACTGCAGACGGAAGCGGCTACGAAGCGGAGAAATCATTGTGCCAAGATCGCAAGAATCTCTCGACTCTTCCGAAAATGTCTGCGTGGAAAGCGCCGTTTGGATTCATCTCCGGACTTTCATTCGTGCACCCTCCATCATCTTGCAAAATCAGGATTGGCCGGCTCGCGATCCCGCAAGGCCCAAGTTTCACAAAACCCCCTGTGCCTCTGCCGCTGGCTCGAAGCGTGGCACATTACCTGTGCCTGCCAAACAAAGATGGTCGCAGGCACTGATCAAGCTCGGCCGTCAGGATTATTGCGCATTCGAGTGAAAGGCTGCCTACTCATCTCATTTGGCAGAGAAATTTAGTGCAAGCCTGCAGGATCGTCCGCAGGATCGTGCGTCTCGCAGTTGGGTGCCGTCTGGGACAGGGCAGAACCTGCATCGAGCAAATTTGGAATTTAGCGTTGACTGAAGCCAGCCGTAACCTGAATGGCCCTCAGTTGAGGCATCGGCCTGGCTGCCCGAAATCCTCTTCCCACGTTACCATTTTGTCGGCACGATCTGACAGGTTCAGACAACTTTCTGTTGATTGCCACGCGCACGAGCAGGCACGCCTCTCTCCGAGGCAGAATAGGAAGGCGAATGTTCTGAACCATCACCGCCCTCGTCACCACAAGCCTGTTGGATCGATGTTCGCACATTTCCAGAACGTGAGCATCCCCGGCCTGCATTTGACAACTTCCAGCGGGTGGCGAACTCCGACTCTCCTCGCACCCTTGCACCTCTAAGTCTAACGGCACCCGTGCCCCTGCCGCCTCAGGCAATGCCAAAAGCGATGCCTCCGAACAACGGTCTTCGGATGAAAGTCGCACCTCGAATTCCGCAACTTTTTCAGCCTTCTCGTGACCGGTCTCCTCGAACAGAGAGCTCGTCTCCTCGTGCTCCTGTCGCACCTCTTCTGGATGGAGTTCAGCCTTCATCGTCCGTTCCAGACAGTCGCCGTGATCCTCCGCATGACCATGCTCGGCCGCATGACCATGCTCCTTGCTCTTCGTAGCAAAGCTGCTGTGGCAATGGAAACACATGTTTCAACTGCACTGGCCTCGCTCTCAAGATGATCCTGCACCTGCAGGTCCTTTGTCAAGTCCATGGTCGCCTGCTTTTAGTCTGCTGGCATACGTCGACATCTTAGCAACTTGGCACAAAGTCTTGGTTGGCCTCGTCACCTGCCATTCCCGTATCAACCGGAGTGACCATGGTTGAGCAGGGCAGTTCCTCCTGGCACGACCCAAACTAAGCGCAATGTGCTCAGAAAGGCAGACCAGTTTCTGAGTCCATAGCGGTGGCAAGAGTGCCAAGCCAGGGCGTCGAATACAGCTTAGAAGGAGCAGGAGGCTTTCTACCATTCGTAAGCCTACCTATTCAGCAAGTCATAAACGGGTGCACTGGCTTTGATACGCATGAGATGGACCTCTTCTTCAGGCTTGACCGACTGCTTCTCTGGCTCCACACACACTACCTCCTCGGAGACGGGACACTGATTGGCCTGTGCAATCCACCCGTGGCTTCAAGTTTGCAGTCCTTGGAACTTGCCGATGCAGCTTCCTCCTCCGAGCCTTGCTGGTCCTCACATGTCTGTGCGCACTGAGGCCGGAATTGCTCCAAGTTGATGCCACCTCTTCAAATCCTGCCAACCTTCTTCTGCTTACTGCACTGTTATTCATCGAGCACTTGGTTCGAGATGCTTTTACGAAGATACTGAACATCATTGTACACCAGCACACTAACTTGCATAAACCAACGAACCCACAAATGCTGAAGACCAACCCGTTCGAAATGTGCACATGACTTCATCAAAGATCTCTGTCGTCTAACAACAAGTGCGACGTGATGAGATCGGTGGGCACGGGTTGATGTGTGCCGCGATTGTGCCCACTGAAGCTGCAACCTGCAGCTTCGGATTTCCTTTGTGCTTGAACACAGCGTTCTCCCATGCTGTTATGTGCCTTCTGAAATTTGGAGACGCAGCGTTGCACAGGTCAAACAGGCATGGGACAGCTCCTCCAGTAACGTCGGAAGTGGAGCTCGCGACGGTCCCGACCAGTTCTGGCGTGCACGACCTCTTCCTGTCTCCTGTTTTCGTGAGACGGGTGCACTCTTCTGCACTCTGTGCAACCACGACTCCTGCAGTTCGCTCTCTCGGGATGCCCGACGACGCCTCGCATCGGTAGTGTCACACTCGGAGCAGCCAGACAGCCAAGACACGTGCCCAACTCTGACATTTAGGCTGCCGCGTCCGTTCAACTGAAGACGCTGGGGTGCTCTCAAGCACAAGAAGCCGATGCCTGACAGCACCGTCAGGGATCAGGATCACGCCGCACCCTTCTGCAACAAGAAAACTCTCGAGCTGGGCAGCCAGCTTGACCAGGAAGTCGCTGGGGATTCCCGCATGTCTGGCGTAGTAGGCAGCAGTGGCACCGTGCGTGTCTCGCCTGTGCACACATGTCTGCCAGAACACTTGCGATGACTTTGTGGCCAGCAAGGTGCTACGATGAACTTCAGCTGCAGGGAATGGAAAACAGAATATGCGAGGTGGAGGTGCACTACCACAGCATCGAGATCTCGAGGAACCGAGAAAGTTGAGTAACTACACGCAAGCCCAGACCAGGGCTCCCGCATGTCAACGACATCGCGGCTGACCCGGGGCGCCATCCATACGAGGACCTATTAAGCTAATCGTGTCATGGAAATCTTGAAGTTATCGGGTGGTCTTCATTGCTCGTTCACGAAGGGTACCTCGGTGAGGCCTGCCCGGCTGGCGAGATGCAAGGCTGACCTCAGGCAGCAGATACATTGAATCTGCGCAGCCATTTGCTGGAAAGCTTGGTCGTCGGCTGCCCTTTCTGATTCAGGGCATTGACATTGGCCTGTTGCGGCGAAGCAGCTAGCTCATCAGCAGATTGCAGGAACCGTCTCATGGTGTGAATTTCCTGTACGGAGTGCGCTCGATCTGGACCACCAATCCCTACATCCTTGTTGCCACAACTAATTTCAAGCCTTGTGCTCAAGCAGGACGTCACACACCGAGCTCAATGGCCTAGGCTCAAGCGTAGGTCGTGTCAGTCGAAATATTAAGCATGTGGCTTGGAACTCTCCTCTGAACTCTGAACCCACTGGCAACAAGGAGGGGTTGAGGCAATGGCGAGAAGAAAAGTGCGGTTTGGCCATGTTGGTCAGCTGCATTTGCATCTGCACGAGCTTGCAGAAGTGTTCTGCACAAGTCAGCCAGGCCATCGAAGGCGGCCGTGTGGAGGACACAAACACCTTTGGCATCCGTCTCATTCGGGTTCGCCCTCGCCTCAACCAGGAGCCGTGCCATCTCCGCACTCCGGGCCTGCACTGCAGCCCTTAAAGGAGTCTCCGGCCCATCCCACTTGTCTGGTGGAGCTCCATCCTTAAGAGCCCTTGAGATGGCTCCAAGAGCCAGTGCCCGCTTCTCCTTCGTCGCGGATGACAGCAAGGGCTCTGCTGCCTGGTACAAGCTCGGAGGCGGCCCTCGAGGCCGCGAACACCTCAAAGGCGATCCACTGGAGGCGCGCCGAGTCGACCCTGTCGCTCCGCTCGCCCCACGCGGTGTGACGGCCGGGGAAGACGCGGACTGAGACCTCTGCCGAGCGGTGCTGGGACTCGGAGCGACGACACCACGCTCGCGCTGGCGCCGCTCCCGCTCCTCTCCCCATGTGCACGCGGACGACTCGGCATCGGCTTTGGGGACATCCTTGGGCCGTGCCTTGGGACAGCTCTTCGTCTTGCGCACAGCACCCACGCTACCGCTGCTGCTGGATCGTCTGATGCTGGACGTGAAGCTGCTTCCCGACTCGCTACCAGCGGATGTGCTGCAGACGCTGCTGGAGCCGGCGGGCTCCGCCTTGGCTGTACTGCGGACCGGGTATCCTCCAGAGACCGGTCTCTTGCCCTGAGCAACACCGCTTTGGGCCAGTTTTGCCAGGACATCATCGGCCGAGGGATTGGAGACTGCTGGACTCGAATGGAGCTCGCGCTCAACGCCTTTGTCTTGATGCCATAGCCCAGCAGAGGACAGCGCAGAACGCAAGGCCTTGGTTTCTTGCTGGAGTGCCTCATGCTCCTGCCGCAGGGACTTCAGCTGCAGACCGTGGTCCGTGACGATATCCAAAAGGCGGCCAATGGATTGCTCTGGCCGCTCTGCGGCCGCAGCAGGCTTTACATTGTGACCCTTGCGCACCGGAGTGGTGTTCCGAACATCCCGCGCAAAGGACATGACAGTCCTTAACGGCTCACATCCTAGACAGTCTTGCTTAAACGAAAACTAGGCCTTCAAAACTACTTGGCAGAGCTGCGGACTGACTGGCTCCTGCTCGAGTGTAGCTGTGTGCAGGGTTAGGGCGGTTAGGGGGCAAGATTGTGGGTGGCTTGCTTGCCACTTGCTTCTGCCGCGAATGCGCATACTGAACTTTGAAGAAGAGCCGGAAGCATACAACATGATGCTTTCTCCTGGGGATGCAAACAGTACTGCTACGGAAGATGCAGCTGTCACTCGACTTACAAGGTCTGTAGCATCACTAGACTTTTTCTGTCTCAACCAATCGGGGCTTCGAAGCATTCTCTGCATTGAAATATCGAGATATTGTCACGGCAAACAACACCTCCGGCATTAAAGGGCCGCTCCCTCGATGCCGTGCTAGGCGCCAGAGTTTGTTTTGAGAAGCTTTTGCTCCTTCTTCCAACCGGTCAGTGCCAGCACAGAACTTTCGGGGAGCAGCATCGCTTAAATGTACACATTGGGATCTTTGTTTGGTGCCGTGTCCAAAGCAGTGAGCTTGTGGCTGGCATCAAAAACAAGTCCGGTCTCGTCCAGACTATCTGGCTCCGTGGCCAGGGTGCAAGAGTCGGGCTCCGGGCAGCACTTGTCCGAAGTTTTTCTGAGCTGGGTGAGGGCGAGCTTGGGCAGATACTCCTGGATGAGCTCCTTGACTGGGGGAATCTCCGTGATTCCCATGGCAGTCATCTGCAGCTTCTCATGCTTGGTCAGGTTATCTAATGACCTGGGCGGATCAGAGTAATATGACTTGATATCCACGAAAGGTCCAAAGTGCCCGCCACCGTTCAGCATGATGGAGTAACAAACCTTGACATCGGTCTCACCACGCTCAGGCAAGAACAAGGTCTTGTTGAAGTCTGCGAGGGTAGCGATCATCTGCTTCAGCTGTGCCTGGTACTTCGGATCATGTGACAAGTCATGGCTTTCACTTGGATCCTCTTCTATGTTGTACAAACATCCGTCACCGCAATCTCCACGCCAGTAGTACTCGTCTCCAAGATCGATCTTGTACTCCAGCACTCCAAAATCAACAAAATCTGGACCGCCTCCTGACACAAAGCGGCCGACAGTGCTGCAGTTCGGGTACAATGGACCGGTGTGGACCATGTAGGGCTGTTTGCCTGTCACGAGCTTGTAGGGATATGACAGTAGAGCATTTGCGGATATGAACAAGGACTCGTTCGCACGAGGACCTGGAGCACCTTGGAAAATAGCGTCGAGCATGCCGTTCTTGCCGTCCACCGGAGCCAGCGTGCTGAGGCCACGGGACTTTAGCCAAACATTGGCCGCTTCAGCGGCATCGTCCTTGGGGTCAACGCCAGCAAGTTCGGAAAAGATGGTGTACCAGTCTGCGATCGAGACGATGCCGTTGTGAATGCGGCCCCGGCTGGACTCGGGGATGAAGCCGCCCGAGATGAAGGTGTTTGTTCGCACGCCCCCTTCGAAGTCAGAGTATTTCCCACCTCTCAAAGGGTAGTTGTTGGCGGAACCCGGCTCATAGATTGGTCCGCCATTGTCGGTGGTGAAGACCAACAAGGTGTTGTCCCACATTCCTTTCGATTTCAGGGCATCCGTAAGGTTCTTGATCGTGTCATCCAGATACATGGTCATTGCCATCAGCTTCCGTCTGTTCTCTGAGTCCATGATCTGTCCACCCTGCTGGGAAACGATCTCAGAAATCTTGCTGTAGTAGTACTTGGGGATCTGCAAAGGCGTGTGAAGCAGGTGGAATGCATGAAATAGGAAGAGTGGGTGATCCAAGTCGGATGCATTGTGATCTCGGATTATCTGCAAAGAGCGTTCCTCAAACATCTTCTCCTCGTAGCAAAATGGTGTACGCTCCTCACTATCCTTGCACGCATCTGTCAAGTCTGCTTCCTTGTACGGTCCGCGGTATGTGTCGTTCTCAGTCACAAGGTCGTAGAATGCATTCAAGCATGGCGTGATTTCACCAGTTGCCTGGATTTGTAGACAAAGGGGTGTCAAGCAATACTTAGCATGATTATTTCGGTTTTACTGGGTTCAGGGTAGGGTTGCAGGAGGCTTCGAGCTAGGTTTTGGGCGGGGTCTTCAACATGAAGGAATGCTTTCAACTCACTCACATATTTGGCTTGGTTTTAGTACAATTGGCACCCTCAACGACGGTCAAGCAACATTCTTCCTAGAAATGAAGGCAACGACAACCTTTCACTGCAGAGCACAAACAGCACCCTCAATGAACTCACAGCCGGCCACCGAACCTGGATTCCAGTCTTTTTGTTCCAATAGTCGTTGGCATGCTGGTAATAAAGGAAACTGCTGTCGAATCCACGACCACGAGGGGTGTGCTGCGGAGTAGCCATGCCTGCGTCCCACTTCCCGGTGTAGAAGGTCTTGTACCCACCGGCTTTGACCTTGGCTCCCATACCTGAAGGCAATGCAAGAATACAATTAAAGAGAAAGAGCCTTGTTTAGACACCGGGTGGCAGCGAATACCATAGGTTTAGCACTATGTTCGTCAATTCATCGGTGGGGTTTCCGCCGCAGCGAAGGCTCCGATCCCGTCCTTGAAGAAGGGATTCTACCGGAATGATATGTACGTGACTGTGCGAACTTAGAGCACATTTAGTTTCAGTTACGTATGTGTATGTATATACATATGTAATTGTATATATATATATGCATACACATACATATATGTGTGTGTGTGGGGGGTCATTCTTTGTCGATGTGTTTGTGCATGATTTTGTGCGACCGACATGCTGGGACGCTTTGTTACTGTCCGACGAGCACAGAACAAAGGCAAGGCGCCCTAGACTCTAGGCTTTCCCAGACGAACATGGGACAAAGCTTGCCACAAGACTTTCAGTTTATTGCAATTCCGAGCTCATTCCTTTCTCTGACGTTCGGACAAGAAGCGAGACTTTCGGAGCAATAGCACTCACACACACCCAGCCCACGAAAACATCAGTGGATGGGGTTGGTCTGAATGGGTGCGCCTTTCATTTGAAAATGAGGTTTGCACAGAAAAGCCTTGGGACTCAGTCGTATCTCGCACGCACAGCAATGTATTGGATTGCAGCTCGTTTTGCATGGGAACTTGGTGAGAACTTCCAAGCGTGGACTAACTTTCCGGCGCCGGAAACCGATAGCTAATCGCCGGAGTCGATACGTGATCGACCCGGCAGTTCGAAGCAATGCTTTTCGCCTCATTCATTTACTGCGGTTCACACCCGCGCCTGTCATGTTGCGGGGGATGCCAGCGAAGCCGCTCACGGGGTCTTCGGGATTCTGAGCCGTCACTGCCACGTTCTTCACCAGAACATGAGGGGCAAGGCGGCCTGATAGTAGAGCAGACCTGGCTGGACCACAGATTCTGTAGGAGTAGTGGCGATCGAGGACCACGCCCTCGGCTGCCAAGGCGTTTATGGCCGGAGTGTGCACCTCCAGCTGGCCCTGTTTCTCGTCAGCCGTCTGTGAGCCGTTCCGATGGTAACCTATGTTGGCCCACCCCATGTCATCCGCGAGGATGAACCTATACTGAACTTAGACCCCTACCAGTAGCAGGAATCATAAAAAGGTCAGCTGTTTCTTAGGGAGTACAGGAACCAAAAAACGGAAACATTTCTAAATACACCTGAGGAACAGAATGTGAGGCTTGTGCCTGCTGGCTGGTCCTGCCCCAGCCGCGGTAGCGAAGGCCACCACGGCAGTAGTAAGGCACAGGCAGTGCTGTGGCTTCATACTTCTTCTGAGGTAGAGATCCCGCCAGGGCTTCAAAAGGCTGCAAATGGCTGCAGGCAAGGACACACCCAAGATCCACCGAGCGCACAAAGCAACAGCGACGACGTCGTCCAAGATCACGGTGTTGCCACGGGAAGTTGCTAAGACCTAGAGCTTTTTGCTTTTCCAGATACGAGAATATCAGAGCCTTGTGTACATCATGTGACCTTGCACATTCGACTTGTAGAGACAAACAAATTGCCGCCTGCTCCGCTGTCACTCACCGGCGAGCTTCACCAAGTTAGCGGAAGGCCCAATGGTCAACAGCATCGTCAGCTTCGAAGTCAAGAATTGAAAATAAGACCAGGTGCACGATTCTGCATCACCTCACAGGGGCAGGTCTCAAGTCTCCTTGAATCTTGCAGCTTGCGGACCAAAACCCTTCGCCTTTCTATTCGAGGTACTTCGCCAGAAGCTTCTTTGTTGGAGTCAAAAACCTCAAGAATTCTTCGAATTTCTGCAGACTGCCACCCAACATCAGCACCGTTTGGGATTTGATGCTTGGGTTCTCGCTTGGAGTCATCTGCCGATCCTTTCCTCGCCTGGCTCAAGTATCCGCGTACCTGGTGCTGGCAGGCAGAAGTGACACATGCAGTGGCAAAGCCGGCTACCTCCTTGGCCAAGACTTTCCCGAGTTCGACACCCCACCTTTGTGACAAAGATCGGCATCGCGTCTGCTGTTTCTACTTCGAAGCGACCAAGTCCATCACTGGTCGAACGAGTTAATATCCCACAACCAGCCTCTCGATGCACTGGCTGCAAGCGAACAGCTCGCAGACTATACTGCACACATCGCTCCTTGCACAGCAGTGCGGTGCTCGTAGAGGGCCAAGAGCTGCCCCAGCCTGACTAGCACTCGCTATTGTACTGGTCTGCACCCTTTCCCTGACGGTTCTGACGGTTCTGGTCTCAGCCAAACGCCAGTGTGCATTGCAGACCGGCAGCAGCAAGGACCTGACACCGTGTTGCGATGACGGCTGTCCAACGCCTGCTGATGCGAAGATGCCAAGGCCGCAGCAGCGACGGCCTGTCCCCTGGGAATGTCTTGTGCGCAACGAGCTTCTCTGGGATCCCATCTGCCTGGAAAGACACAAAAGAAGGGCTCCCACCAACATGTTTTTAGGCCAGTGGGTGCCTTCAGCTCTTCGGCCGTCTTCCCCAGAGCCAGTGCATCTGTCACACGAGCATCATTAAGAGCTTACGATTTCCACAAATCCCTGAACCTGGCTGGGCGAAGAAGTTTGACATTAGCTCGTCGTGATTGGAAACCGCTTCGCCAGGCAGCTCAACCTCGATCAACAAGGGCAGACTTCAGAATCGTTGGGCTCCGGGAAAGCTGAGAAGCAAGCTGGGTTTTGCGAAGCCGCGAATCCAATGAAGTGAGATGGGATTACTCGGCCCTGGTGCATAAGCTGGTAGAACGAGTGCTGGCCTTGGCACCAAATTTGAACCATCCCCTCAGAGGCAAGGCCGCTCCCATTCTACTCGTCTTGGTCTTGGGCCGTTCGTGCCAGGCTCACCGAAGTTAATAGCGCCGGTTCCGACCGGCACCTCGCTCCCATCCTTAAAGCTGCGGGTCGTGTCGCACCCTTCCGCGCTTGTAACTGATCGCAGCGTCAGCCACCGAGGCCAGTGCCATCTGCACACGTTTACCATTACCTTAGCAAACAGTCACCACTGATCTGCCAAACACAGTCTTGTCGGCATTCTTGCTTCTTTTTTTTCATTGTGCCGCTGGGCGACTTTCCATATCCAACTGCTGGATGTGAGGCACGAAACGCACCAGGGCCTGCCAGCAATGTATGAAGGCAGGATTTGGTCCAAAATCAAGGATCTCGGAATCTGCGGTCAAATAACCAACATACCAAAAGGCCTGGCAGTAGGGCAGAATAGCAACGCCCTCGTGCCCCATCATGCTGCAGTTCCAGACCTCGGATGTCGCCGGACTGCACAGCAACTTTCTACGCATGCAAGCAGGGAGAGTTTCCTTAGAAATCCTGACAGATTACCTCCGTCCTTGGCTGCCAAGGGCGTCACGTCCAGTAGCCCAATGATCAGTGGAAGGTTTTCTTTGGCAGGTGCCTGCACCAGACATGGCCGCTACGCACAGGAAGAATGCTAGATGCGATGCCTTCTGGAAGTGCTGATCCATGGCATGCCTTGTCAATGATCTGGGCATATCAAAGTCCATCCACAGGCTGCGGGAATCAAAGCCACCACCGAGCTCGATGCCCTCCTTCCAGGAACTGGTTGACGATGCCGAAACCATACCTAAGCCACGTTCGCAGGCAAGCTTATGGTGGTTTGTTCCTGTGACTTGGCCCCTGCCGTTGCACTGCGCTCTGTCTGTGTCTCTGTCTGTGTTGTGTGTGTGGGCTGGTGCTTCCAAGATTGTGTTTGTTGTGTTTGTGGTTGTGCTTGTGTTTGTGCTTGTTTGTGCCTGTGTCTGTAAGCGTGTGCGTGTGCATGCGTGTGTTTGTGTGTTTCTGCGTTTGTGTGATTTGTGTCATTTGTATCATTCGTGTGTTAGTGTGTTTGTGTGCTTGTGTGTTTATGTGTTTCTGTGTATGTGTGTGTTGAGCGTTTTTGCGTTTGTGCGTTTGTGTTTGGTGTGTCTGGGTGTTTTTATGTGTGTGATTGTGTTGTTTGCTTTGCTCGTGCTTGTGTTTGCGTGTGCGCTTGCATGTGGGCACGCCGTGTGTTTGCATGTGCACCCGTGCATACGTGTGTGCGTGCCTTTGTGTGCGAAAATTAATGAGGCGCCATGGACAATGACTCGCAGCGTGGGCATCTGCATCTGATTTCCATCTTTCCGCACCACTCTCATACATGCGCGTCTGCCACGATCGTTTTCTCTTTTGGGTTTTGCGGTCGTCAATTTCTGTCTGTCGCTTGTCGCAGTCACTCGTGCCAAGCCACAAAGTGCATGTGTGTGTGTGTGTGGGGGGGGGGGTGCGCGCAAGAGCGAGAAACGGCCAAACCACAACCTTCTGTTGTGTTGCTATGGCGGTTTCTTCGATCAATTGTCGTGGTGTTGCTGTGTTGCTGCTGCTCGTTCGTCGTCATTGTTGTGCGTGGCGATGTTGCTGTAGCTACAGTTGTAGTGTTGCTGGCTGCTGTGTCGTTTGGGTCGATGTCGTCGATGTTGCATTGGTTTGTTGCTGTCCTTTCGTCCGTCGGCATGGTTGTAGTTTTCTGTTGCTGCCAACAGCATTGCATAAACACACCACTGTCAGCCGCATCACGCCGCTCTTACCTTTTGCTGCATCTCGCAGGCCTTTGTTATGTTACCGTGCCATCTGTTGCGTTGTCATGGCTGTTTGTTCGGTCAGTCGTCGTCGTGTTGCTGTGTTGCTGTGTTGCTGTGTTGCTGTGTTGCTGTGTTAGTGTGCTGCTGTGTTGCTGTGTTGCTGTGTTGCTGTGTTGCTGTGTTGCTGATGTTCGTTCGTCGGGGTTGTTGCGCGCGCAGATGTTGCTGTAACTACAGTTGTTGTGGTGTTGGCTGTTGTGTTGTTCGGTCGTCATGGTCGTTGTGCTTTGTTGCTGCCGTTCTTTGCCCGTCCACATCGTTGCTGTTACCAGGAAAAACATCACTTTCGGCAGTATCACTCCGGTCGTCCCTGTTTGCAGCACTACTCTACTAAGAAACCGTCCTCGACCGGTTGCGCCTGTATCACACTCCTGTTGGATTTAGATTGCACCGCCACGTGTTAATTAAAAGCAAGGGGATGGGACACACATCTGGAAGTCCCATCCACTACAGCTGTCCAGATGTGTGGGAAGTGTCAAGGGACGCCTTGACACGAACTGCTAAAGAAGTGCTACACATTCGGAAGCTGAAGAGGTAACAATCTAATTAATTAGGACAAACGGCATCCATCTACGTTAGGATGACTGGTCTGCAAATGTGCGTGTGTGTGTGTGTGTGTGTTGTCTCAAATCTTAAGCACCCACTCTTTGAGGCTCTGGTCTGAAGTGCCAAGCAGCATGGTGGCGTGCTAGCATCCACCCCTTTCCGCTATATTCCGCTATCTTGTCGAGGGCCCGGCTGCAGCGACAACGCGAGGACACCCACGGCGCTCCAAACCGAGAAGCGTCCGCCGACCTGCAAAGCGATGAAGACGACTGCTGTCTTCAATCAAACTTCAAGCGACACCGAAAAACAGAGGCGCGCTTCTCTCTGGGCGACTTGCCCAGTCCCAGAAGCCGAAGACATTGTTCGAGTCGATGCCGAAGGCCTCCCGCACATTCAGCAAGAACGCTGTCAACGCCAACGCCCAGACACCCCAGCCAGCCTGGGTCTTGTCGAGAGCAGTGGAGCATGCCACGACGTGTTTCGCGACGCCTCAGAAACGAAGGACAACACCAGCTGAGAGTCAGCTGAGATTCGGGGGGACATCCACTTGACAAGAGCAGCAGCAGAAGCAGAAGCTAAACACTTTTGTGGGGGGTCGACAGTCTGCGCTGCCAAGCTCCTTCACGAGCCATGCCTGAGGTCGAGTTAGAATAGACAAACGAGAAGTGACCTTTGCTTGCGGCGCCTTGACTGTCTTGGCATTAAGCATCGTCTCAGCTGTTGTAAATGTCTTCGAGATGATGACGACCTTGTTTTATCAGGAGAGCTTGTCTGACTTCGCTTCTTCTTCACGAGTTTCCTGGCCAGGGTCGTCTCGGCATTGAGCCCTTCCAAAGCCTCGGGGGAAAGGTGAAAGGGATACCCGGACACCCTAAACCGGAATCTAGACTCTAGACTCATCTAGACTCATCTGCGTCTCTCGACTCTAGACACTCTTAGCCGATGACCCGCTGGACGTCGATAGGGTCCACATTCGCCAGGAAGCGAAGCTTCCGACCCTGAGCCGCTGCCGCTGCCTCACACCACGGAACGGAGTCGGACTTGGACTCTGACTGGCGTTGCGCACAACTTTGCATCTCAGCTGTGAGCCTCCGGATCTGTTTTCAGCGCTTCGTAGACGAACTCCACACCCAAGTAAGAGCCGCCGATCCTGCACCACTGCAACAACATGTCTCAGTATCGCAGAATGTCGGAGGTGTGGAATCTGCCCTGAATGTGTTGATGTGCCCATGTTTACCAGGAGGTTTCTGCTGATTCAAGGGTACTGGCGGTTATGGGCATCGGGCTGGCATGCGTCTCTGCTACAATTATGACATTCCGAGCCGTCTTTGTCGCATGCACGGCAGGCCGAGGTGCCATGTCGTCAGGAAATAGGTGCGACTCCGGGAGCCCGTGAAGCCCTTTGCTGTATTCATTCTTGACCAACTTCCGGGCTCAAGCAACCAGAACAACAACGAAGCTTTCGGATTCCTTCCCCCACTCAGGTACCAAAAATCGCAGGAAAAAATCCAAGCGTCGGACTCACGCCGGTGCTTGCTGGGGCTTCGACCCAATACAGACCACGTCTGTCAATGGTTTTCCAGTGAAGCCTTTCCATTCTCCTGAGCGAACCTGCGAGACAAAGTCAACTCCGAGACTGCCCCTGCACGACCGCTCTGTCTGCGCTGAGCCTTGTCGGAGAATCCTTTCATGGCATCCAAGACTTTCCAGACCTGTTTCCCAGCACTCTTGCAGGAATGTTGCAGTTTGCTGCCACACTTCCACGAAATACGAAAAGACTTATGGCTAGTATCTCAAAGACAATACTGCAGAACCTGATACCCACCTTGCCGCATGCAACCCACAGAGAAGGAAAATGCCAAGGCTAGGTCAACATCGAGCCATGTATGCCATTTCTCGAAGAGGCCTCTGGCACCACATTCTGTCCATCCAAGGGGATGGACGCACTGCGAGGCGCTCGCAGTGCTGGGTGAAGAACCTCAGACTCTGGTGTTGCTCTCCGCAACTCTTCCTACACGTCCCGAGTTCCAGGCTGCTCTGCCTTCGGTCTGATTGATGCGCTCGCCTGCAAACCTGTAGGTTCACAAGCCCTCCATCTCGAAAGGGCGATGCAGGGAGACTGAGGCTGGCGGCATCTTTGCCTTCCTCTGCTCGACACCAGCCTCCGCTTAAATTCCCAAGGCCCGAGACTCGATGGCCATGTCCGAAGATGCAAGTATGCCTTCTCGGCTAGATCGAAGAGTTTTGACCTGGCACACTTTCGTGTGACTGGCAGTGAACGCACTCCTTCCTCTGCTGCACCGAGACAGGCACATGGTCTCACTGTCGACCTTTTGGCGACAATAGTCGAGAACCTCACAATGAAGTTCCAGTTCCAAGCACGTGATCTTGTGCACCGCCCAAGCCCAAGCGTGCGCTACGAAAAGTGTCAGCACAAGGTCGACCGTGCACGGACTCTGTAGCGATGCATGCGCGGTTGCACTGTCATTTCAAGGCGTGGCGCTGTCCCGTGATGACAGAGTACATTAAACTACCGACAGAACCATGATGCGCCTAAGGGACCGAAACCGAGACCTTGAGAAACCGCATCATGTTGTGCTGTGCTGAAACCTCTGCTTTCAGACAGAGGTGTCTTAGGGGGCGATGTGCTGCATGAAACAACACTGCACGTTCCTTCATCGGCTTCAAGACGGGCCGTGGCTTGTGGAGGGGTCTGTTGAATGTACATTTCTTGTGGCAACTGGCGCTTCACGTGGGCGCAAAGCTTCGATCGCAGACCCCTGAGCCAGCCACTACTTGCCCGCTCTGGACAAACATGGAGTCGTTGCGGGCCTTTTATACGGACTCTTCACTTGCACACAGGTCGAGTGTGAAACAAGCGCACCTGATCCTGCATCAGGGTCCGCAAATGTGTAGATTTCATTTTGGGCACTTGGCCTTGCATGTATGCTGCGCTGTCGAAATCTCGGTGCATCTGTCCAATTCAACTTGCGATGAAGCATGTGCATGTTCCTTGCCTTTCAAGTCATTCCATAGGCCGGAAGCCATTTGCCTCAGGACACGCTGTGAGGAATCGTGAACATCATTGCCTGCTGTCTAACCATAAACACTTGCGGACTCAACACAAGCTGGCCCGGCACTCCATTGCTGAAGTGTGGATTCTGTTCTGAGCGGTCGGCCGTGCCAACGGGACCAGCTCCGGAAACAAACACACATCAACTGAAGGTTTCCAACGCTGCAGAAACGAACCGAAAAGTGTCATGGCCACCGTCGACTCAGACATTTCTCAGCTTTTTGAAAGCATGAACATCACAGAGACGACAAAGCCAAGGACAAAGCCAGCGACTGCCGGGCACTTTTCTATTCATCACCGACATCACGATGATCACACTATTCCTGATGTTTGGCAGACGAACCCTTGCCGCCCCAGAGCAATCCCTATCACCCCATTTCTTCAGGCTGGCAGTATGCCCGAAAATGCGACTTTGCAATCGCTGGCCCTCATAACTAGACTGGAAGACAACATAATCCATCAAGGCGAAAAGACCGCATTCAGAACCCTGCACCCACCAAAAGAGGACAACTACCTTATCCTCGCGCAAGCCACCACATGTAGACAGGACAGAAACGCTGATGCCAGAATTTGCAAACTTGAAACTCTTAGACCCTAAACTCCAGGCCACTTCTCCCATGTGGAGATTACGATGCACGGAATCTTTTGGCTCGGATGCCTGGTCTGAGCTGCACGGCATGGCTCTTCTGATCGTTTGGAGCCTGCTGTTTCCTGTTCAGCCTTTCCTATAGCTGGATGAAGCGCCATACCTAAGTGCACACAGTGTCTCTAATCTCGGTGCGTGTGTACAACGAAGTGCGCTTCTGCGCACCTGTCCTCGAGACTGCTAGACTGCGTGGTGCCAGTCAGGCCTTTCAGCTCTGCTCGAGCATTTTGTGTTTCGTGGCAGCTTGGGATTACATTGATTACATGTCTACCAGGTATATGTTGTCGCTATACTTGTCTCCCCATATTACAGCCCAAATTTACAGTCGCCAATGTCATCCGTAAGAGTCCTGCGCACAGCATTTCGCACTTCCTGAGCTGCCTCTCCACACATGTTCGGCAGCACCACTAAAATTTCCAGCCCGAGCAGTGATTCTTTGGAGCTGGGCAGACTGCCAAGAATTGAAGAATCTTCCAACATTCACATGATCCAAACACAACGAAAAGGTACAGTATTCCAATGATGGTCTGAGGCGACACATATCAAGGATGTCGAGATTGAAAGAGGATCAGGAAGCCTCAGCTCTTGTCCTCCGGAGCATCGGCTGCCTCGGCGTGTCCAGGCAGTACGTCTGCACGGGCTCGCAATGTTTCGGGACGCTGGCGACAGCCGCGATCTCTGGCTCTGCCACGGGACTCTCCGTCCTCACAGAACACATTGACATGGCTCCACGCGCACAGCTTCAACTCAGCATCCGGAATTCGCTTCTGTTCCCCTGCGTCCTCGTCTCAGCCGCGGATCCTAGCACGGGATATGATTGCTTTCACACACGAGACACACCCTCGAAAACGAGCGAACCTGCGTTTCCACCACCACGCAGCCTGCGACGGCCAGCTTGCAAGAAACATGAAAAACGCAGCACTGAAACACCTTGCCACGAGAGTGGGGACACCGGACGTAGAATGGACTCAAGTTTGCGGCTCCCTTTTGCCAGCAGGAGCGATGCAGCTCTTAATACCTGGATTCCACAAGCCTACTGGCACTTGATAAGGCTGTATGGAAGATCCATCTCGGCCAGTTTCACATAGCAATCTTCGATGCTCTCAGCTTGCACTTTGGTCGTGCAAGGGTACTTCCTCGGTTTGTCTCAACTTTGGACTTTACGACAGCATCTTGCCATGGCAGCACCAGAGATCAAAAGCAAAAGAGAACCGCTTGCATCCGGCTCGCCCGGATTTCGTGCAGAACTTTGAGGTGCTGAGCCCAATCTGCCCGGCGTGCACTCCACCAGGCGCCCAGTCGAAGCACTTGCCAGCTACCACGCCCCGCCCAGCACAACAGCGTATCTCATCGCCCAAGCCTGCCACTTCGAGCCAGAGAGACGAACACACAAGAGAAAGAACACGGACTTAGGACCTACATGAGCTGGAACCGGGTGCTTGTGATGCGAGTGGTTGCGCTCGTCGCGTGCGCCTTTCTTTGTGGCAGCCTCCTTCTGCTCAACACTCCCGACGACCCCATTGAAGATTTGTCAATGCAATTGCTGCGCCTAGCGCGGACCCCTTGAAGCTGGGGCGTCGAAACCTGTCGCCTAAGCCCATCGGCTGCAGCAGCCCATTGGCCACAGCCCGCTCGGTTCATGAAGTCTCCTTTGTTCCTTACTGGCACAGCCGCGTACTCGTTGAAGGCTGTTGAACACCCGATTGTCCCGCTCCCTCCGCCTGTTGTAGCAAGCGGGGCTCTTTTCACTGTAACCCCTTGCACGAGGCGGTGCACCGGCTCCTGTGAGGTTTGACGGCGGGACTCCGAGAGCCATACTCTTTCAGATCACTTTCCCTAACTATCCCTCTGCTCCTTTCTCAGGGCTTGGTGGTTGACCCCCGCGCTGTGTCTCGACCGTGAAACCCGCCCGGGGCAACAAACCTTTGGAAATCCTAGCCAACGCCAAAGACTTTGAGCTCGCAGGATCCAGACTGAGCTGCACACCTATGCCGCTGAATCCGCGATGCCCTGATAACTGCTGAATTTGACAGCGGCTGCCGTAACACCTCGGTGCCGAGTGGGTTCGGGGCGTCTGGGCACTCGCGTCAAGCCCAGCACGAATCGCACATTCGCTGAAAGGTTCAAGAACCGCGGATGGATTCCCACACATAGGATTCGTGCATCGCAGCTCTAAAGATGGATTCGTGCACCAGCGGCGCGGGTTCACATGCCAAACGGGTCAAAACCCATAACCTGCATGACCCTAAACCCTAAAAAACGAAAGCCCTAAAGCCCGAATCTTCAAGCGACGCTTAAACCTGTTCACCCTAACCCATAAATAAACCGCAACAACCTCCAAATAAACCGTGGAAGCCAAGAGCGATGCCTCTCTTGACGTGCTGATCCACAAATAGCGAAAATCCACCAAAACGCCAACGCTCGAAGCCCCAAACCCTAAACCTTAACCCTTGAAACCCTGAAGACTCGGCTCTACTTGCTTTCTCCTATCACCAAACCTTAACCCTGAACCACTGACCCCTGCCCTAAGTTCCAGTGCTTGAGTCAGCTGGAGCTTGACTCACAGGCGACTGCACGTGTACGCGTGGGATTTGCGCTTAAATCGCAGGTGCTTCTTATCGCTGGCCTTGCTCGCCTTTGCGGTTCAGTTAGGAACTGAGTGCATGAGGGGACAGAGCACTGGCACTGCTGTTCTTCCTGGAGCGCTGGTGTTTCGCAGAGCGTGTGCTGAACATAGTGGCAGTGTCTTGACCATCGAGAGGACACAGAAACAGCAAGAGTGGTGCTCCGCTGGAGACTTTCGGGGTGTGACCTGCAGGGCACACGCGGTGGCGGCGTCTGAGACATACGGCCTCACACACGGTGGTGCCTTTGCGATGTGAAAAAAGCTGTAAACTCTTCAGGCAGCTCTGTGCCTTTTGGTTATTCCTGTTTTCGGTAGTTGCGAACTGCCATTGCAGGTCATGTCACCTCGAGGTGGCAAGTTGTGCACAGTGCCTCAGTTGGAAGTTAAGGTGCTAAAACACACGCCGTGCGAGACTTGTCCGACATGCTCGAGAGAGAGGAGTCGCAGTAGGAGCGGCTGCACAAGGCACTGCATCAGCAGCTTTTGCAGCTTGGCCCGCACCGTCGGAAGCAGAGCCGACCGCACGAAAGAAGGTCTGGAAGAAGGGAAGACTCTACGCGCTCTACTAGTGTATTGGTGGCATTCGAACTTATGCTGAAGATGGGAGAAGTGGCTGTCGCATTTGGAAGGACAGAGCTCGGGTCGACACCACAAACTTCCAAACAGAAGCCACAAAACGTTGCTAACCGATCTGGCCCAAGCGCAGCTGAGCATAAGCAGCATAGTGGTCAGACCTCGTCCAAGATACTAGAACAAGTACGAGCCAGCAAAAACCGCAGGCATACTGCAGTCATGCTGCAGGTCATCCACAGAGATGTTCGGCATGGTTATCGCGCTGGGAAAGCAGACATCAGACTTCATGGGCAAGTATTGCCATCTCATGCTTTTCGGGCTCACATACCTTGGGAGGACATCTCTCCCCACACCTACTCAACAAGCCATACTCAGCAAGCCGAGGTGCCTATTCCCATCTGACACGTACATGATTTGATCATGTGGACTCTTTTCATGGGTTTCCTGGACAGGTCAGTGGACAGTATTGATACCTACATAACGAAGACGACATGGACAAACGATTCCAAAGCCGGTCCTGGTGATCGTAGTGCAGATATGCATTCTGCCCACCGCCACCCTCAGCAGTAACATGCTAGCAACATGCTGCATGTTAAGGGGTCACAACATATCCAGAAGCTTCAACTGTGTTTACCGCTGGTGTGACCGCAAAGCAGTCTAGGCAGCGTATGCGTGCAGACCAGTGACGTACGAGCTGTATGGAAGCCGCGTCCGCAGTGGGAGCCAGAAACCGGACTCGTCGAGAGGCGAGCTCTCTGAATGAAGTACCTCACCGACAATCGTAGCAACTCCAAACTGCAAGCCGGGACTGAAGACCTCGAAAATTAAATCCAGAAAAAAGCGTCGAACATGCGTTGGGCAGGGCTGCTGTCTTCATTGTTTCAATTTCTGACATCTCCGTGTTCATGTCTCCTGCAATGACCAGCTTGGAGCCCTTTGGAATCGTCGTGTCAATGTGTCTCCACATTTGTTTCCACCTCAAGTCGAGAGATGCGGGCATTCCGATTCGCTTTCGAGCACATCGCGACTGCAGAGATCGAGGACCACACTGCTTTACGCGAATACCAGCATTCTGGGGCCACGCTTGCACGTGGGATCCGATAACCCACACATCTCCGATGGAAGGATGCCCAACTCGAACACGCATGAAGCCCTGGCAGGCATAATGTGCTGGTAGTTGTTGACAAGCTCTGAAGGGCAACGCCGATCACTCTGAAATCTGCGCCTTCTGCGACATGCCGTCTTCGAAATCATGATCGACGTAAGCCTCCTCGTGGAAATCTGATATGTACAGCCCCTTCCGCACCATGATCACTACCCCACCTCAGGGCAGGAGACGTTGTGTAGATTGGTGCAGATCATACATGCTGCATCGTGATGTCCGTTTGGGTTTTCCCGGCTACATTGCGTTGTGTAAACATGGAGGCACATGCAAGGCTCCAGTCATCACGCTCTGCAAAGCTTCACTGCTCCGACTCGGGGGCATCCCGAGGGATCGAACTCGGGCTGGGGATGTCTTGCAGGAGGACCAGTAACATCATGCAGGAGAAGTACTAATAGCAACTGCAACACTTACAAAACACAGTAGGTATCATCTCCGACGCACGTTGCACAACAGCGCAACCCGCTACGTACTTGCAGGCAGCCTGAAATTTTCACCCATCCAGCTGGATTCAGCACTCTCGTGGCAAAGCCGAAGTGCCCAGCGGTGCTGCAGGTGAGAACATTGTCTTTCGCATACTGTCCATTCCGCCTCCATTGCGGGTTACAGAGACGTCTGAAGATCGTGCTTGCAGCTTTGGAGAAAATTTCGTTGAACACGACGACATCCTTGGGCTGCCAGCAGGAGGCGTTTTGTCTCGACGAAAATACAGCTCGTAAACAACGACAGCTACAGTATTCAAGCTCATGCGTCTGGAACCTCATTCTCCTTCAACCCCTCGAACCAGCGGACAAGTCCATCAGCTCTTTCCTGCATGTCCTCGCTCCAGACGCCAACCGGGCGAGTGAAGAGGCTTCACGGTACCTGAGAGCCGCGCTGGCTTAGAGCCAAAAGCCAACCCTTGGCGAGGCCCCCAGCCAGCGATGCGAACTTCCAAGAGAAAAGTATTCACCTCAACACGACAGCCAACGACGAGTTGCAGCATGGAGTCATGCTGAAAGGGTACACTAACTATGCACTTGCTCTGGCAACTTGTCCAAAATCGCAAGGCTGCTGACATTCATAATGGAAAATACATCTTCACCACCCGGTGGAGTCCAAGCTTTCCCGAGGCTTCGATCATTGCTTTCCCTGAAAGCTACCCCGCTCACAAGGAGGAGGAAAAGCAGCTTCTGCGCCAGGAGCATGAAAGCCGAAGCTGAAGCTTACAGACAACGGTTGCTTGAGCCACACTTGCGGCAAGCCTCACCTGCAAATGACAGAAGTCGGCTCTTCCTGCTCTCTGCATCCGCTAAGGCCTGCGAAGTTCTTCCTGCATCTGCTGGATTCTCTCCTCCTCCCGCTTCTTCTCCTCCGAGGCGGTCCTTCCACGCGTGAGCCGGCGCGAGAACCGTCGCGAGAACCGTCGCGAGCCGTCGCGAGCTCTGAGACTGGAGCTTGAGCTGCTCTCTCAAAGCCACCATCTCCTCGGCAAAGTGCCAAAGATGTCAGGACTTGGCGGCTGGAGGCTCAACAGGCCAAGAAGCCTTTTGATGCTCCTCCAGCTTGCTGAGGTGCTCAGTGACCTGCCGCCACACTTCGAACTCAATCTACAACTCTACAACTTTTTCAGGCGCGCCCGTGTGGCCTCTTGGTGCGCCTGTTGAGCATGCTCCTGACACGAGGCAGCTTCACGATTTCCACGGCACGGAGGAGGCATTCTCCAGGCAGCTGCCTGGTGACGTCTGGCAACTTCTTCTTGCTGGTCGCGCTCCTTTTCCAGAGCCTGTGTTTCTGATGTTTCTAGTGAGGTCTAGAACTGCGAATTGCTGCCCAGGCCCAGGCCCCACCACACACAAACAACGCATGTTTTTTCGATGTGCCATCCACACCAGAAAGTTTGCAAGCCACCGGTCCGAGGCGAAACTAGGTGCTCTCAAACAACCGCAAACCTTGCGTAGCGTTTGTTCGAAATCTTCACCCGGGCTAGATTCGAGGCGTTCCCGTGCCGATCGTTTCATGCTGGGTCGGGCCGAGCTGGCCAAAAATGGAATGCAAGAGGCACCCATCCTGCCATGCGCCCGACTTTTCATATCATCGGGGAAGCCTGAACTTGTCCCACCCTGCCACTGGCGACTCGTTCCGGCGTGGATCGTGCCCCATACAAGTCCCAACACAAGATCCTGCGCGAAAGCTGGGCTTCCTCGTGCTGCTCGGAAGGGCTCTAGTAACTCTTGTTTTCTTACGGGAGTTGGTCCCGATCCTCCAGAGACTCAAACAGAAAGCCAAGGAACTTCGGCCCGCTGCTTGTGCCGCTCGAGCTCTTGCTTCACCTCCTGGTGCCTATCGCTTCGGTCGTGGGATTTCAGTAGCACCACGTGCCACGCTGGCACTGTGCCGAGCTCTGCGCTTGTCTGCCAAGTCCTTCGCCCTGTCGGCCTCCTCCTGCATACTAGTACGGGTGACCGGGTGACCTGTCTGTACCCAGACCAGGCCATACCATCGGAGGCGTGGACAATCTCGCTCCTGCGCTTTGAGGACGCTGGCGCGATGCTTCGTCTCAAGCTCATCAACCTTGAACCTGCGTCTGGCAACTCTGCGCTTCGCTCAAGAGACAGCAAGGGGAGTCCAGAGCAAAGGCCAAGCGGCTGGAGTTCTGTATGGTTGAGCTGGAACTCACGATGCTTGTCCTGGTCAGGCCAAGGCCAAGAGCAACAGTGGCAGTGAGCCATCTTCTAAGGTGTTTGCGGCTCTGTCTTTCAGCATGGCTTGTGGACTGCTCTTAGCCTTGGCTTCGTCCAGCGCGCGCTGCTGCTCAGAAGTCTTCTCGAGCAGCTCAACCTTGCCGCTGGCCCGCTAGCATGCATCTGCTCCTCACGCGTCGAACTCATGTCTCTCAGGCCCTGGCTATCTTCTTCTGTGACTTCAGCTCAGCCTCAACACAAAGACAAAAGACAAAACAAAGGAAAGACCTGGACGTGGACATGAAAACACTCGGAGTCCTCTTCGTGCTGTCGTCGAAGTCGGGTCAGCTGCTCCTCCAGGGCCTGGCGCTCTCTGCTGTCTGACGTGTCGGCATTCGCGTGTCAGCCTTCGCTCTCAACGGCCTTTCGTTCAGACTCCGAGACGCCATCGTCTTTCTCTATGGAGGGCTCAAAGTCCTGAGTCTCCGCTCCGCTTCTCTGACTCCTCTACGCATGCCTCCCTCTCGCTGCGTCTTTCGGCGCAAGCCCGGCGCATCCAACGCGTCGAAACATTTGCTAACTACACGGGAGTTGGAAGGCCTTGTGGGCTCCATCCTGAGATCAGGGAAGCTACACTCAAGCCTGCTAGCTGAGAAGCTTTACTGTGGGCCAAAGCTCTTTCCGCTTCAGGACAGTCAATTCATTCGGATGTGAGTGTTCGGGGTCTGCCGGCCTTCGCAACTACCAGAAGAACTTTGCTTCTGCTTCTCATCAATATGCCACCCCATGAGCGACAGATCAACCTAGACGTAGGCCGTGGACCTGCCCGGCTGGCTCACACAATCCGAACACGTCGGACGAACTCTCAAGGTTCCAATGCTTTGCTGCAGATGCAACTGCGACAGATGCAAAAGCAGCGTGCATAGCACTATGCGTAGGACTCTGCGTGCCTCCTTGGCCTCAGGCAAAGGCCGGTCAGGGCGCGCTGCTTGCAAGAGATGTGCTGCTGTTGCTACTCTGTGCGAACTGTGCTGAGCACTTACCAAGGCACGAACTTTGAGCGCCGAGAGGTCCAGTGCTGAGAGGGACGTCTTGGCGACCATTGGCCTGTCACATAAAATCGCTCGACTTCGCTGCTTGTTCAGAGTCTGGCTGCCGCGCTGCCTGTCATTCCGGCATCCTTCATTGTTGCAGGAATCCTGAGAGAGCAGAAAACCGTATGATGCGACATTGCCTGGCAAGGCCGCGAGCCGCGAGTCCTGCCCGGCTTGTGCCACAAAGCCGACTGGCCCAATGGGGACCCTTCTCGCACAGGCTCCATGGCACGCCTCCTGCTCCTCGGGCTGCCTCACGAGCAAGACCAGTATACGGCGCCTGCTGAGCCTGTACTTGGCAGCGGTCGCCTACTGTGCTGCCTGAAGGAGAGCTTGGCTGCGCCTGTGCTCAATGAAAGCCACGTGCCCTGCACAGCTTCACGTGACGCAGCCGGCACAGCCTGCGGCATGCTGATCGGACCGAAGCCCGCGGAGACGAGGCGATCACTCATGCGAGCGTTCTCTGCCTCGGCACGAGAAGCCATACCGAGTGATGAAATTCTAAGCCAGTTGAAGACTCTCAGCCCGCTGCACGTAGGGAAGCCTCACATTCCATATTGCTCGTGACAAGAAGATGACGAAACACTACGTTCCACCACACGAGACTTGCGTCCAGAAGCTCTGTCATGCTTGTGACATCTGCAGTTGCTCCACAGCGGAAGATTTGAACATGTCACGTATCTACAGAACCTGTTGAACACCGGCAGTCCTGACAGATTCAAGAGTTTGTCATTATACTATCCTTCACATTGCGTCTTGGCATTCGAAGCCGAGTTCAGGGCCATTTCGTGCAACTGCTTGACCACCTGCAGCGAAGCTTCACATGCAAACCCAATCCAAACATGGCGACCCCCAATATGTGACGTTGATGCTGGTTGCTCCGCCGCACTCTGAAACCAAAGTGCTCGCCTCTTCACGCAGCGCATCATCATTGATTCCAGCTGCCGCATCCTGAACGGGATGCCAGGTTTACAGAGAATGGGACCCTTGCCCGCCAACGGCCTCTGCTTCAGAGCTAGGGTATACTGAATGCCTTGCTGCTCTTGCCTGGCATGGGACTTGCTACGATCATGGAACTAAACCTTGGCCTAGCAAGCCAGGTGCCACAAATTTGCCGTGTCACTCTCACTAAGAGCACAGACTGGCAGACCTTCCGAACACAGGTCAGGTAGACGCGATATCGCCCCAAACCACAAAACCGACAATAGGGAGCGTCAGGGGGCAGGCGATTGCCTCAGCAACAGGAGCTGCGAGGGTCCCTGAGACAACACGATCGAGATGTTATAGCTACTGTTACTATAGAAACAACTGTTCTACCGTCCACGACCTTGGACCGGTGAGGCTTCTTGCAGAAGCAGAAAAAAGGCACAGTCTGCAGGCTGCCCCAAGCGAGTCCACAAGCACAGCTGAATCGGCTGAATGAAGTGAAGAGGCAGGAAACCCCTGCTTCCGGATCTAGCTTTAGCTTGCACCAAGAACGAAGCCTGAATGATGAATTAACTAAGCGATAACAAGCAAGCTTGATGCAATCGCTAGCAATCGCTAGCAGATAAGACAGCCAGGCTGCCGCAGTTGTGGCAGGTAGCTCCGTCGGAAGCCACCGATTTCGCAGATGCCTGTCGCAGAATCTCCGGTGTCAGGGATCCTGGAACAGGATTTGGTGACCAAGCTCTTGTGGCTTTCGCCGGCACCGTCTCTTTCGGAGATGGTGGGGCGTGCGGCGCAGCCAATGTGGACACCGCGGAGGTCCGAACTTGCATCGGCTTGGCAGTCAAAACGAAGCTGCTAGTACTCTCGTTTCGGGGAAGGCTTTGTGCATTTGTGTTCGCCGTCATCACATTCACAGAGTTCGCGCTTTGGGCTCGAGATGGAAGATTGCTCCCATCTGTGCGTCCGCTGCTGCGTCGTGCGACTCCACTAGTGATCGGTTCTGCGGCATTGGCGTTTGGTGCTGCTCGCAGCATGCGAGGAGACAGTGTTGCCGGAATGCACGAGTACACTGCTGGCCCCGTCGAAAGCCTGATAGCAGGATTCCCCCGCGCTTGTGGGCAGCCTGATGGCCTCCGCCACACATGGCCTCCCGGAGCACTGCGGCTTCGCAGAACAGCATCACCGGCAGCTCGGTGTCCGAGATCCGAGCACATCTTCAGAGCTTCAGTGCCACAGTCGGCCAGTTCAGAGCAAAGTGAGTTCACCCGCTGGCGCAATGCACCGAGCTGGGGCTGCTCCTTCCGCAGCTGAGCATCCAAGTTGCTGCGAACAGCATGGAGCTCTTTACGCAATCCACCGATCTGCTCTTTGAGATCAACGATGGCTGCCTCTGTGTCGACTCCTTCCGGAGCTGATCCTGCGGGCTTCGTGGAGGGGTCGCATGAGGGAGCGTTCCTGACGTCCTGGGGCTCACTTTGGCAGGCTTGCTGGGGTGGTTGCTGTGGCTGCGCCTGTGGTGGTAGCGGCCATGGCTGCACAAGGGAGGCTGGACCTGGCGAAGCTGTGCCGGTGCCCTGGCCATGTGCCCAGCGTGCGGTCACGGGCTCCGAGAGGTAAGCCACAGATCGGCGCCCAGGCACCGTGCCTTGGGCCTGGAGAGCCTGAGGAGCCTGGGGAGCCTGGGGACCAATGATGACTGGCGCAGGCCATCTCCAAGAAGCGACGGGAGCCGTAGGCGCATACACGGGCAGCGCACCGGGTGCACCTACCTGCGCAGGCACTGGCACGACCGGCTCAAGGAAGGGTGCCGCCATGTGCCGCCAGTCCACTCATGGGTCAGCCATGCAGTAACGGAGACACTAACAGCAACCTGAATCTTGTTGATACGATATCATCTCCCGTTTGATGTTTATCTCGAAGTTAGCCATTACACAAAGGCTTGTAACCTGTCAGTCGGGATGGCTGTGCAGAAAGCGGCGAGTGGCGTCAGCTGATGAGTCTACAGTCACGTACATCGACATGACATGGCGCACGGTGTATGATGCCACCGGCTCCTCTGCATCACGGTCATGCAGGTTCTCAGCCTTTCCCTGCAATAGCAGTGAAAGTCCCGTGTCCATGAGGCACATCTTACGCTAGGAAGCGCTGCCTTGACATGTTTGCCCTTCTCTTCATGATCCTGACATGAACATATCAGACGAACACGATGTCGCACTGCTCTTTCCGCAACTATACGCTCATGGCCTGCTTCGACTTCAGCTGATTCAAATGCTCGCGGATCTTGTCTTCAATTTCCTTGCATCTCAGCTAGTTGACACCGCAGCGAGTCCTACCGACACAGGAACAACACAGGCTTAACGTCGCTTCAGCAAACGGCTCGCCGCATGCTGTTTTGTTTTGCCGCCCGCCCCCTCTCCCCGCCCTCTTCATCCGGGCCTTGCACCTGAGGAGCCGAGGCGGGCGGCGTAGCGTGAAAATTAAATCTCATTTCACAAGCTCCACGATCCTGAAGTGCACCTGCCGGAGCTAACCAGCTGGTCCATTTCGCAGCAGGTACCCAGCGATTGCCCACACAAGCATGCTGTTTAGCGTTGTTGGTTCCAGCAGTGGACCCTCCTCTGCAACCACCTGCACATCCAATTGCACCACATGGTCTTGAGTTCCGCTGTGCCTTCCCACCTTTTAGTGTGCCCCGTTTGTCTCAGGTCACCAGAGAGGAGCAAGCCGCGACCCCTTCGCACATGGCGACCTATGAGCTGGCTTCACCCTACTTCTCGCTGCCACATTACCCGTGGTTGGGGGTCCAGGTTTTTTTTTGTATTGTCTATGACTATGGTTTTATTTGGGTATTGTTTGTGGTTTTCTGTGCCTGGATTGTAGAAAACCCTGTAAGGGTCACGCGGAGGGGCCCGATTTTGGAGTTTTGTGGGTATTTTTTTATGGTTTTCTGGGCCTGGATTGTCGAGAACATGCACCGTGTATGATGGATCTGGAACACTCGAAACTTTCAGGAAGAAACATGTGATTGACGCAATTCCTTCTTGGCGAAGAGTTATGTGATTGACGGAATTCTTCTTGACGACAAGCCATGTACGGCATGAAAAGAAGGTGGGCGGTTGGCCCTCAGTCGGCGATGACCGTTCACCATATATCTTAAACACGGCCCCTCTTTTGGTGATAACGGCTCATCAGGCGGTTCCGGTTCACCAGATATCTCTAACACGCGCCCGCATTCGGCGATAACCGTTCACCAAACATCTTAAACGCACCCCCTCTTTTGGCGGTTCCGGTTCAACATATGTCTTTAACACGCCCCCTTCTGGTGATAACCGCTCATCATCTATCTTAAACACGCCCCCTGATTCGGCGGTTCCGGTTCATCATAGATCTTGAACGCGCCCCCTCTTTTGGCGATTCCGAGTCTCCCGTACCCCATGCTCACTGGTTGCAGGGTGCAACGTCAGATCAACAGCCCGACTGACTAGAGGATTGACGGACTGATTGACAGACAGCCAGACTGATTGACGGCTCGGTTGGCAGACGGACTGACTGGCTGACCGACTCACCGCTGGACGACCAACTGACTGACTGACTGACCGTGCGGTTGGCAGACCGACTGACTGGCTGGCTGACTGACTGCTGGCTGGCTGACTGACTGACTGACCACGCGGTTGGCTGACCGACTGACTGAACCCACCGAACCGAAAACCATAAAAAATAACAAACAAAAACAAAAAAACACTCAAAACGAACCCCCAACCCGTGGTTGAGCCGTGCCTTGGCGGCCTCTTCATCTGCTTTCTCCTTCTCCTGGGCTCTCCTGACAGCTGTGTTCCGCATCGAGCAGTCGGGGCTCCAATCAGAGTCCGAGTCCTTTGTGATCTGGCTGGATCGGCCCTGTTCAGGACGTCGGCTATGCCCTGCGTGTCAGGACGAACAACAACTAAATTACACGGCTTTAGCCTGCAGAAGCCACGGCATGTAAAGCGGAATACAAAAACACGTTGACTATGCGAAGCAGCCAGGCTCCTTGAACTTGTTGGAAGCAGCGTAACTCGCTGCAGTGTGACCATAGATGTTTTTGAGGTCCTTCGCTCTGCTTGCAAGTGAAGCCAAGGAAAGCAACAGTAGGGCAAGCAACAAGAAGCCACGGTCCAAACTCTCTATATAAAATGCAAGCTCAGGGCAGAAAGATGCTACTGAAATCATGCCGTGACGAGCTGTGCTTTCGCAATCTGTCCACCGCTACGCCGTCTTACGCAGTCTTACTCTTCAGCAACGGGCGAACATACTGTCGTGAAAGCTGTCTCTCGCAGCTGCGGCGTCAGACTGTCCTTGTTGGGGTTGCTTTTCAGCAGCTCCATTACAACTGCAAGATGGCCGTGATAGGCGGCATAGTGCAGGGCCTCTTCAAACAGCTGGTCTTGTCGTGTGCAAACTCCAAGTTTCTAGATTTCCGGATGTCACCGAGCACCGGGACCGTATTGCCATGATCATCAGCCAGATCGACTGAAATCTGGGCAAGTTTCTCGGGCTTGACTGGTTGCGGCTAGGAAGCGTTGTGCCAGTACAGAGCTTCAGGCTTTAGGCATCATGCGCAAAGCCGAAACCTGGCGGGAAAGCTCAAGGTGAAAGATCGGATCATTCGATGACTGGTACCCGGGAACTGAATCAGAAGATTGTGTGTCATGTCAAACATGGGAGATGGACAATGTCTTTGTATCCTCCACCTGCTGCCTCCATCAGAGGGGTTCGACCACCTGGCCAGTTTCCACTGCTGATGCGTCGCAACAGGCTTCCCGTTGCTGTAGTGACAACACTTCGTGACTCTGCCCTGGTTGGAGCGTGCCGTTGCCCTGGTTGGGCAGCTCTGGATCGGCACCGGCCCGGAGCAGGGCTGCTGTGCACTGCCGGAAACCCTGAGCATCAACGGAAGAGGTACTTCTGAGGCCGAGTCTGGAACGGTGGACAGTGTGCCTTTGCGGCTGCGTAGATCAAGGCTGTGTTCCCACTGTCATCGCGTGCATCCGCAAGGTCCCTGTCGGCAGTTCGCCGCAGCAACGACAGCCACAGGAAAATGCCACGAAGCACAATGACCTGTAGCCCAGATCCTCGTTGTAGATGAGCTCCTTCACAATCTGGGGATACCTGCATGTGGCGCAGCGACGACAAATGCTGCTGACGCTTGCGTTTCAGCTCCAGTCGCACCCATCGTTCGTTGCGAAGATCAAAGCCTTTGGTGATGTGTTGACAGTCAAGCTCACTCGCTCAAGATGGATCCGCTCTGTCTGACCAACCGCGCTGCACCACAACTGGGGGCCCAACAGCGTCGCCGTACTGCTGCACGTAGCTATTGACATACCTTTTCAGACTAAAGCTTGTATAAGCCGTCAGATCCACAACCTTGATCGCTTTTGCTATGAGGTCAAGGTCTGGGGCTGAGCTTTGCGCTGGATCGCGCCTTACCACCGATCACTTCTGTGTCCGAGAGTCCGGAACGATTTTGTTTTCCGCCCGGTCGGGCAACACACCCGGTTGAGCTTCATGTGTGTCCCGGTATGTTCCGTAATGTTTCAAAGGTGATATGGCCCAGCTCAAGCAAGCCATGGTTGGCTTCACGACGAGCCTTGCGACGACTAGCAGAAGGCATCCCACACAATGTTCTTGTCAACGGGGCCCGATTGGTTGAAATGAAAAGCTACACTCCCTTGTGTCACGTCCCAGCACTTTCATGTACATCGCCGATGGGAGCAATGCAAAGAGACTTGTTTTGCAGGCAGGTGCAGAAAACAAAGGAGCTTGCAAGATGGATGCAGTCGCACAGCACTTCTTCAAGCTGGGCACTGAGACACCTGTCCTGCAGGCAGCGTTGCCTCCTGACACAGTGGACTCCCATGCTCTGGGCAATGCTGTCTCAAGGCGCTGTAAACTCGCATGCTCCTCTATAGGCTGCCCATGGTTCAGAACCGGCGCCCCTCGAGAGATCCTGCAACAAGGCACACCCGTCACACTCTTGTGGCAAGTGGTGTAAGGCAAGCGTACCAGCCACCAAACATCCAGGAGAACCAGGAGAATGGCGGGAAGGACCTGCTCTCTTGCAGCAGGCTCACTGACTGCAGAATGGATGTGCACCTTTATTGGGCCATTCTGAATCCGCTGTGGCTGACAGGCATCAAGGCTCCGGCAAGATGTAGAGAAACAAGTCATATACCTGGCTGTTCAATCTTGGCTGCAGGATCCACCGCGGCGTTTCATAAATTCTCCAACTTCAGCTCCGGTAAGCGAGCAAATGTGCCAAGTACAGAGGCCACATCACGTCCCACCTCAATTCTGTTGGGAAGGCAGCCGCCTTGCTGACGTGTCGACTACTGGGCCCAACACCCGAGCAGCAGCCAACCAAGAAGCCAGACTCCTCCGACTCCCAGTCCCACCTGCTGAATTTGGGGGCACGGCTCGAAGCAGGCAGAGAAAATTACAGTATCCAACACCTTTTGTGCGCTTCTTTTCAAGGACTCACCTTCTGCAGAAGCTCTTTGTCCATGGCCATCCCCCTGCGGATCAATGTACTGGTTACGACTATGCAGTCTCGGTAGAACCCTTCGCCTGCGGCCCTTCGACTTGCCGTCGCCACCTCCGTGGCCCTGCAGGCGATGTCAGGATGCCACCGGGACGGGCTTGTCGGGCTCATCCTGCCACTCGTGCCTCGAACGGTTGGATTATGGGTCGGCCACCAGAACCTGGCCAGTCGACTTGGACCGATCTTTGTGCAGGAAACATCTCGCGCCGCTCACCTGCCATGGAGATGGTCTTGCCATAGCTGTTGCCACCCCCTCAGTCGTCCGTGTACACATAAGCCCACAGCAGACCCCTGCAGCCGAGGGCGAGACCTTCGATGTCAGAGGGAACCTCAGACAGACCAGGAGACACTTCCCGGGTTCCCTCAGACTGGAAAGGAGATCAGGCAAATTTGAGATGCTCGGGTCATCGCCACTTCTGGCGCTGTATGACGAGGTCGCATGGCTCACTGTGAAGATGTGCCGGAACCAGTTCTACGATTCTACGTAATCGAGCTGAGCGGGAGGTGGATCATTCTGGGCTCAGGTCACGTGTCGGCGTGCGGCTTGGGCTCCATGTCGAGTCGTTGAGAATATGAGTTTTTCAGGCTTCCAAGGGAAGTGGTGTCTCAAAACTGCGTGAACCGTGACATTGCGGATGCAACACGTCCTCCAAGCGGATTTTCACGAATTAAACGATGTGCCCATGCGCCAAAACGGCACAGGCAAGGAAAGATACACTTTTTGCTGCGCAGGATCGATCCTACCAGTTGCTCGTCTAAAAGGGGTCGACAGGATCTCACCAGGCTTTGGCGCATTTTGGTGCGAACTCGAGGATCTAGCCATGTTCAACATGGCTCATTGCACGCCGTTGTAGGCGGCCGTTGCTGAAGAACCTCAGCTGTGTTTGAGACCTCGACGAACATCTCTGCCGGAGGGGAGGCGGCTTACTCAAGCGAAGTCTGAGTGGAAGGACCCAGCCCTTGGAAGCAGCAAGTCGATGGCACAAGTCCTTGTGACAGCAAAGGGCAAATGGAGCAGTACTCAAGGCTCGAAGCTCATCCGCCTCCACATCCTTCGCAGGAATGATATCTGCAAGGCGACAGTCTATTCCACGCCTGAAGCGTGCCGAGAAGCATCCACAAGTCAGGGTCGAGGTCAGAGAAAAGAGATGACGCCAAACGCTGGTGCTTCAAGGACAAGCCCCACAGCAACACTGCTATCAAGAGGCAGGATCGGATGGCGGCCTCATCAAGATAATTCACAAGGCTGCGCGAGCACTCTAAACCGATGTCGCGCTTCCACTCTAACCCGTGTCGAGTCCCCACTCACACTCTTAAGAACTGCTCCGGCCTGTGTTGGCAACCCATCGCATGGCCGCACTTTGCTCGAAAACCTCAGAATCGCAATTACCCGATGTAACTCTCAGACTCTCAGCCCTGGTACACACATGGCACAGTCAAATGCATGAGGTGAAGCGTGTGCGAGGACTGATCCTGGTCCTCCATCCCTGTGGAGGTAAAGCCAAACAGCAGACACGTTTTCTGAAGTGAAGCGTGTCGTGTGGGTTTGAGGTTTGTGGCGTTGTGCAGGCGATCCGATCAACACTTTGTCACGGACTAAGAAGCTTTGACTCGTTTCCTCGATCTTGACGTGAACAATGACAACGAGGAGGACCGCGTTTCCATAAGGACGTGATACGCCGGCAGCATACCTTCAAGGTCCAACCTGGTCGCTCCGCTTGGGACAGTTCTTTGCCTTGCTGTACTGCTTGGGTTTCATCTTGCCGGGGCCGGACTTGCTCATCCATCCGATTGCCATATTCAGGGACAGCTTGCTATAACTGAAAGTCAAGCAATTAAGGAGCAAAGTGCGCAAAAGTTTACAAGGCTTTGACGCTTTGACTGAAAGCAAGCACGGACAGGCGCGAAATTTATTGTGCATGTCAGCCAAACGGTGCAAGATCGATGCAAGAGTGGCGGTGGGTCCCCATCGTGTTCGTGCCATGCACAACGCCAGGCCCCCTCCCGCATCCAGTGGATGGCGCAGTCCATGTGATGAAGCTTTGAAGCAGTGCTGCACCGGTGAAGTCAGCAAGGTCTGGTTTGAACGGGTCATTCGGGCGACGCCACAAAGTCTTTGTCTAAGTTGCTGACCCCACCGTACAGCACCGTGGGCTTCACAAAGAACTGGCCGGTGATAGGACAAAGCCTGATTCGACAGGGCATGCAATGATGTCATTGACCTAGTGACCTAGTGCTTCGGGCACCTGAGACATCACAAGCACATGAGAACACCCATGCTGCTGTCATGTATCATGCCGCTTTTTCACGTCGAAGGCAGCTAGCTCCTCAGCATGCCATGTTCACGTGAAACATGGGAAGATCCGTGCACTCAGGATAGTGTGTTATGTCCGCGATGAGTGCGAAGTATTCGGTTAACAGTTAAAGGTGATACAGAACGAACAATCTCAAGGAGATGTATTCACCGGATCTGCACAGAGGGAAATCGCTCCGCCGACTCAGTCATCGAGAACCGAAGAAGTTGAGGAAAGTGGTTTTCCTCATTGTGCCGGGAGTTGCTCGTGCATACCGGTCTTGGCGTCGAGAATCAACATACTGGCAGTACATAAAACACAGAAGACTGCAATGTTTCCCTCCAACTCGCTCCAAGGATCATGCTGCTTACATCTACAGGCTCGCTGAGCCATCGGACATCGATAACCTGGCCACAGGGACGTTTGAGGAAGCCTCTTCATGAAGACAGCCACAATGCTATTCGCTGCCTTCCTCTTGTCTAGCGAGTTGAAGTCCAGGACGATCTCAAACTCTGCACCATCCTCAACAGATCATGACCGACATACACGATGCCTGGGCCTCTGCTGCATCAATGTGGCCAAGCTGCTTTAAGGCAATTCAGCAGAAAATCTCTGTCGTCCTCCACACGGCCAGGTCCTGCGTCTGTCCGAAACCGTCTGACACTGGGTGCTATGCAACTGTACACCGGGACTCTGCGAAGCTCGAAACACCAACACGAATTTTGACGACAAGCGGTCGGACACGTCACCGGCACGCCAACTTCGACACGGTGTCCACTACAAGGTGTCGTCATGGCGTGCAGCAATGAGCGATGCGCGATGCAAAGTGAACCTCTCGCAGGTCGTGCCCCTCCCTGACACGACAGGAAACCTACGCAGCGAGAGCTCGTTGCTCGATGGCCTTGCTTGGAGAAAGCCTTCTTACAAGCACTACATCCCAACAGTCCTTTGACGATTGTGAGCCCAGGCGGAACACTTCCTTAGACGGCCGCACATCGCATCAGTTTCATATTGAGCCTTGGGGGCATGTCGCTGGATACACTGACAAGACAGGCAGCCTGATGCATCTGGATACCTCAGTTCCAGCGCATAGGAAGCAAATCAAGCGTCTACTTGCAGGGCAGCACCGACTGCTTCCAGAATTTGGAACATATGCACATTGCGGTCTCGCCAATCGGAACTGCGGCTTTGCAAGCCCGGTGGCAGGACCAAATCTGGATCCTCATCCATCATGATTGTGAAGCGCTGGTCTTGTTGCCTGGAAGATTTCGCCTTGGTACCCACACATTGAAGCTTGCAGACAGGCGCAGAGGAAGCTCAGCCCTTAGCAACTCCGCGCATCACGAACGTCCCCTGCCTGCAACATGGCATTTTTCCGTAACTAATGTCAGTCAGCAGTGATGCTTGAGTCTGGCCTATCACCTGGAAGCATCTGTTCAGGGCTCCAGTTGTTGAAGCTGCCCAACACCCAGTAGCTGTGGCCTCAGTATTAAAACGGCAGCGACGACAAATTCGCGGGCACCATGGCAAGCTCCTGGGAGCGGCACGTGCCGGACCAGTCACCCCGCTGGCTGTCCATCCAGAGTCCGGTCTGATCAAGCTTGAAACACTCACCTTGATAAGAGCATCCACGATCTCAAGGCGTATGCGCACGGACTCTCCATGCTTTCCGGTGATTCTCCAGCACTTTCCATTGCCGAATGCATCGGGCCCTCTGACCGGAATCCCAGTCGCCCCCGCATCAAGAGCGGGCTTTGCGGGATAGATGACCTGCTCCTGGTCTTGATCCCGGACGAAATAGAATGACTCAGAGCGCGACATACCAATGCGAACGGTGACTTCGAAAGCACCCTCCTTTACACCCGAGCTTTGCATCTCCAAGAAGTTCCAGGACGTCCAAGAGCCAACCACGAAGTATCTGTGACGAGGCTTGGATCCGATGAGCTTAGGAAGGGAACCTCCTGTCAGCATAGCATCTGCACGCTGCCAGCTCACACGAAGTCTAAGACCCCACTCCAGGGTGATGCGGAAGGGAGTCCCTGCAGGGACCTCATCATCCCGCCCGTCGATGATCCAGAACTTGCCCTTGCCTTCACCATGCGGTCCCACAACCCGCGTGGTCATGGAGCCATTCTTGACATAGGGATATATGCTAAGATCAGGATTCTGCATAAGGCACAATTGAAATCTCTCAACACGAGTCTCTCCTAGGACCACCATACAACTCCAGCTGTCACCATCTGTACTGGGAGTCATCTCCGTTCTCTGCCTAAAGGCATCCCAGGAGCCAACAATGCCGATCCCACTGTCTGGCCTATCCCCTGCCATCTCTTCTGCTGGGCTCATCTGGAACTTGCCATCGTACAGGCTGCTGTTGTAATCATACTGGTCGAACTCATCACGAATGTTGTCGCAGCGATATCTGCCTCTGTTCCTGGAAATCCTGGAGCCTGACGTTGGAACTTCCTTCCCATCGACATAGTGCATAGGGCCCTCGTCAAAGGGGCAGCTCACCACCACGTAGTCAACTTTGTCTAGACTAACCTTTCCCGGCTTTCTGGGACCTCTGCTTGCCACGGCGTAGACATCAGCACGGGCATTCGCCCCACCGAAGCCAAACGAAGAAACTCCTGAGTATCCAGACTGGTTGCCATACTCGGCGAGCTCAGTGTTGAAGACGGTTGGGTAGCCGTTAACATCCAAGTGTGGGTTCAGTATGTACAAGTGACAGTTCGGAGATCCGGCACAGGAATTGCACATCAAGATGCACTTGATAATGCCAGCTTGTCCAGCATTGGCTTCAAGATGGCCTATATGGCTCTTGGCACTTGTCTGCATAATGGGAGCCTTCCTGTCCTGCATGACTCCTCGCAGAGCTCCGACTTCAATGGGATCCCCCAAAGCCGTGCCCGTCCCATGAAGCTCCGAGCAGGTGATCTGATTGGCTGTCAGCCCAGCCTCTCGCATGGATCCCCTCACACATTCCTGCTGTGACGGTCCGTTTGGTGCCGTCATGCTCGCGCTTCTCCCGTCTTGGTTCAGGCAAGCGCCAATCACGGTTGCGATGGCCTCACGGGTGACTGCCTCTTCACTACGTGCAAAAAAACACGAGGAACCCTCACCGCGTTCAAAGCCATCTGCGGACATGTCAAAGGTGAAGCACCGTCCGCTGATGGACAGCATGTGCGGACCACAAAGGTTGATGTAGTTCCCTGGGCCTGGAATCAGGTTTGCGCCACCCATTAACGCTTCCGTGATGCCGGAATCTTGCCCAGCACGAGCCTGCTCTGCAGTCACCTGCCTCAAAGCAGTATGCCCAACTCCATAGGCCACCAGAGCTGATGAGCAGGCTGTGTCCAGCAAAGCCTGTGGTCCCTGGAGGCCCAAGGTGTAACTGATGCGGCCAGCTATGCAGGACCACTTTCTCGCCTGATAGCCGAAGCGATGACCATCCGTGGAGCCCATGGTGAACCTGGGATCTACGGAAAAGTCATCGCCACTGTGTCCGATGTAGACACCGACCCGCTTCCCTCTGATATCCTTCTTCCGCATCCCGGTATTGAACAAAGCCTCGTAGCTCCTCTCGAGCAGCTGCCGCGACGCTGGAGCTAGCAACCAAGCTTCCTCCTCAGGGACATTAAAGAAGTCGTTGTCGAAGGAGAAGATGTCCTTGCAGAAGCCTCCATGCACGGTGTATGTGTAGCCCATCTGCCACTCCTCGCCCGTTCTCGTGTAAGGCTCAATGTCGAACCTGTCCACGGGAGCGTAGACGTATCCATCCGTGCCGCATGCCACTGCACACCAGTAGGCATCCAGCTTTTCGAAGGCAGCACCAGGAAGGGAGATTCCAACGCCGTAGACACATATTCGCCGACCTTCCGGGGTGTTGGGTCCAGAAACCAAGCCATAGAGCTCGTCTTTGGACTTCTGATCCCCAGCGACTTCTCCAAACTGGAACTGTGCCGGGGCGGTCAGGACCCAAGCTTGCAAGACTAGGTCCTCCTCAGAGTCTGGCCGATAGGCGTAGCTGATACGGTCATGGCGAAACACAACCAGGCGGCCTGCTTGTGCTGGCAGAACTATCTGAGCGCCATCCTTTGGATAAAGCGACAGCTCGCCTCCACTGCCGTGTGCCATCAGAAACATGCACAACTTTCGGCGCTTGAGGAAGTCGACATGTTCATCGACAAGGCCCTTTGCAATGTCTTCGTCGCTGATGTTCTCAGCCACACCCGCGCCCTCTGAAGAGGCCGGCACACGCAGCATTCCGCTTGTCCGGCTGTGCGGCATGAAGTCCAGCGCGAAGGGGGCAACAGGCAAAAGAAACTGTGTAAAGCGAGCAAGGTAGAGGTCCAGCAGGTCGATCGGACTGTCCTTGGGAACTAGTGGCACTTGAAAGCAGCATTGCGGTCCAAGGCTGCTGAGCCCAGCACCATCTCTTGCTTCTCTTCCACCATCTCTTCCAGCCAGGCCGTCTTGCACTTCCTGGAATGCAGCATCTGATGCAGGACATTGATATCATGGTATCAAGAAAACGAGTCCTCCGTCAAGTGGTCAAGTGGCTTACAACTGTGAAGCACATGGTTATCCATTATCAAAACGGTAGGAGACGAAGGCATCAGCAGTAGCAGACACAACTATCACAAGACTATCACAAGCAAAGCAGCACAGGATGCATGCAGCAGCTGTAGGCAGCAGCTACAACTGCACTAGCAGAAGCAGCAGCAGCACGAACAGGAGAAGCAGCGAGCTGTATAGCAGTAGCAGTAGCAGGGCAGAGGCAGGAACAGGAGCGGCAGTAGCAGTAGTCGCCGTCGTGGTCGTGGTCGTGGTCGTAGTTGTGGTCGTCGTGGTAGTTTCGCTGCTGCTGGCAGCGGCGGCGGCGGCGGTGGTGGTGCGTCGCGGCGGCGGTGGCGCGGGTGGTGGTGGCGGTGGGTGGCGGTGGGTGGCGGTGGTGGATTCGATGGTGGTGTTGGTGCTGGGTTTGGTGATGATGCTGGTGGTGGCTTTGGTGCAGAAACAACAACTTCTTCAGCAACATCTTCAGCAGCAGCAGCAAGAGCAGCAGCAATATCCTCGTGCCGATCACCATTATACAGGATACCATATGCGGTGCAAGTTGCTGATGTCTACCCAAGTAGGACGGCTCGAACTCCCTGCGGAGTCGCTTCCATCTGTACCTGGGATGGAAGTTGGTACGGGCAACTGCCACGGTCTGTTCGCCTTGCATCTCGTACCGGCCTTCCACAAGTCACCTCAACTTGTGCTTCTTCGGCTGCATCTTCACCTTTGCATTCAAAGCCTATGCTAAATGTCTCACAACATCCGATGAAGCAGAATTGGAGGTGACGAAAGAAATTCAATTGTGGTTGAATTAAGGGTAGGAAAATTCCGGTTCAAGGAGGTAGTCCTGAGAGCTCTTGCAGGGCGCCTATTGACCCCTCTAGCTAGCCGCTGACTTGCCGAACAGCCCGTGATCCCTCCGATCTCGATCTGAAGACGAAGGGTAAGCCCAGAGTGTTAAATCAAACGGTACGATGACACTTACAGCTTTAGCTCCGTTCCCTGGGCGCGAGGCTCAAAGGAAGCTGGATCACACAGTAGCCTTCCTTTGCCAATGCATCGACGGCCCGAGCCGTGAAGCTGCCAAGAGCCTCCATGTCGCCTTTGGTCGGAGCAAGCTCTGAGCTTCCTGGGACAAGAAGGACCGTTTCCGAGACTCGGTACCGGACCATCTGGAGGCCACGCGACATGGAAGCCTCCTCTTTCTGGGTGAGGCACATCCTGCGCAAGCACGAACGATGTCGCTGATTGTCGGGAACAAGCGACACCCAGTTGTATTGACGGACAGAGCCAAATCCTCACACCTGCAGGCTTCAGCCCGTGTGAGTGCGAATCCGTTCGGCAAGGTTCCACATAAGTAGCACGCAACGATGCTTATGCTTGCCCATACCAGGCATGCAGACAGATATGGACTCGCCACCTGCTCTCCTACTCTCGCATGCAGACGTACAAGTAACAGAAGACAACAGCCGGCTCCTGTGCTGCGGCCATCTGGCAACAGGCTGGCTATGTTGTTGGTGATTGGTGTTCTGCTTGGTCTGGGGCTAGGAATGCTGAGTTCTATGGTGGAGCCAAAGGCTCGACAGGTAGCAATGGCTTGGGCTTCGTAGGCTTTGGCTTGTTGAGCCTCACGGACTCCGCTATCCACGCGCCAGGCTCAGAGCCATAATGGCTTTCAAGTCAGACAGAGTTCTTGAAGAGACCTGGCTCCGCATCGGGCTGTAGCCTCTCGAACAAGCTCCTGGGGCCCTTGCAGGTCATGTGGAACATGATCATCGACGTCTTTCCCGTCCTACTAGCGAGTAGGCCCAAGAATGCGATGTAACTCTGCTGCGAAGTCCTCTGCAAGCCAAGCGAACTCAGCATCTGGCTCCTGAAATGCAAGCGCTCTCTGAGTTGCGGCAACAACTGAGAAACTCTTGTAAGCGAGGGCAGAGATGGAGTGTCCTTTCTGACGGGGTCATGCAGGCTGCCTGCAGCCAACCTTAGCTTTGCAAATATCTGCCTGAATCTTCCGGTCTACAGCATCCAAAGCTGAACCTTTGCGCAGTGGTGGACCAGCCCGTAGTTTAAACAAGTATTTGATGAGAGATTGGCAAAAGAAGAAGCAGCTACAACCTCAACCAGACGCGTTGTTGCCGGCTACAGATTTTGAAATGCATCGACTGAGCAGTGTGGAATGTGCAAAGATCGTGCACAAGAATGTGCTGAACTTGCTCGAAAGTCTATTCCAAAACTCAGATTCCGGCCGCTTCAGAAGCCACCGACACCTTTGTCGAAAAGATGATGCAACTGTTGGCCTCAGCGCAGCTTCTCGTACTGTGACCCTGGAGCCTTCTAGTCTACTTGCGCCCTTCTGCCCTGGGGTGCCAGCAAAAGCATGTGCCTGTGCAACTGGGCCTTCAGAAGGGGCACATACTCGCGCTGCAGAATGCTTCAACGACTCAGCGACATGCCTCTCGCAGAAGCCCTTCGAGGCCGGCCACCACATATGGAGACATGACCTCAATGTCAAGCTACGCACGATGTGTTTCAAGAGTTGACGGCTATAACCGCCACATCATGGAGATCGCACATCCTTCTGAAAGGAATGCTTTTTGCCAGACTCCCTGCTGGTGACAGTGTCTGTTCACGGGTCTCGTACCGACAGCAACAATGAAAAAGAGGGAGTCGAAT